TTCTAGCAAATGAATTCTGGAGCATATACTGCTCCAACTACATGTTCAACCAAGCCCACAGCTTTTGGAGGGGAGATGGAGAGGGATAGTGAAGGAGATTGCTACTGAGATCCTCAAGTGAGTAAGATCTGCATTTATCATTGAGTATTATCAGGGCCAAATTTTCTTCACATACTTTAAATAGATGTGATCTTTGGAGGGTTATAAATCAAAATCTACATAAGTAAAATTGTATGAATAAAAGCAGGGTGAAGATGAAGTACATACAGGTTTCCTCTATATACATCTCTTATTTCTTCTAGAGTAGGTTGGATAATTAGATGTGATTTCCCATGAAGTTATAACAGAATATAATACTTTTTTCCCCCCATGTTGTGGAGTCTTTGTTGAATGGCTGAAGTTGAGAACAGTGGCCTGATATTCTAGGCACAAGAAGCAGAATTTCTAAGTGGACTCCCAAACAATTCCTGGTACTCTGAAACTATCATCTACTTGCAGAGAGATTAAGGCTTTACGGGGGGAAGTTGGTGAGAATTATTTTAAGGAGCATTCAGGGTGTCGTGCATTTCCCTTCCCTCCTCAAAAGAACCCCCACCTCCCGCAGCAGAGCCAGGTGCTAGTGGAGCTGCTGCAAGAAATTCGTAGGCCCAAGATGGAGCCACCAGTGGTCAGAGTGCCACGTCAGCAAACCAAACTTTCCTGTTCCTTCAAATGCTCCGCCCTGGCCAGAAAAGCAGTTAATCCCTGACCGCCAAGCCAAGTCTGGACTCTATACTTGGGTCTTTGTTCCTTCACACCCCAAACAAGGCTGATTGTGCAACCCAGCCAATCAGATAGTTTCTATTTTTCTCTTCCTTGTTCTTTATTCTTTATCCTGTAAAAGCTTCCTGCCTTCCAGCCCATTTTGCAATTCTTTGAATGGAGACAGTCTGCTTCATGAAGTGTTAAAGTTTGTGGCGCCTGAATTGTCTTAATCATTTTCCAACAGAACTAAAATAGATCCTTCAAGAAGTTTTACTGAACTTGACCTGTGGTTCCCAAGTTTGGGGGTTGCATGCACCGTGACCTGCACCTGACTCTCCCCTGTTAAAGAGAAGATGCTGGCGAGTGGCTGGGGCTGCCTGGAAGAACAGAGGAGAGAGAGGGCTATCCTGGGAGTAGTCTGCACATCGAGAATGTGGAGGGGCAAAACTGCTGAGTTTCCTGTGGGCTAAGGGACCATAGCTAGACTAGAGCTGTCTCTGAAACCTTGCCCAGGGAATAGAATGGCTGTGTGGAGCGCACCATCAAAGCAGGGGTTAAACCGTCTGCCGGAGGGCACTTTGGGTGTGTGCATGTGGAGGGGTAAACTGAAGAGTCCCCTGCTAATGTCACCTGTCTCCCTCCTTACCATCAAAACTCTGGCAACAGTAGGTGGGAACGAGGGGCCAGGTAGGGGAAATAGAGAACAAACCAAGCCCCGCATCACACACACACACTGTATTGGGTCATTAAAGGATTCCTGCCTCTGCCTCCCTCCCTTTTTACCTTCTATAGATACGAGATGATTACAACACGTTAACATCTTTGCCAGAGACTAAAAATATGATGATGAGTAAGACAAGGTCCTTACTCGGAAGGAGCTCATGTTTAGTAGTAGACAGGCAAACAGACCAACATTTAAAAATCACTATAAAAAATGCACAGGATGCTGGGAAAATGTTCTGGAAGAGGTGGCCCAGATCCAAGTCTTAAAGGATGGTTATGAGTTATTCAAGAGGAGTGAGGTTGAGAATTTCTGTGCACACAGAGCCAGCGTCAGGTACGAACCCGGGGACAGGAGAAAACATGGCTGTGGAGGGTCATGGTAAGACCCGCTGTGGACTCAATGACCAGAAACAACAACAAATGTTCACGTTTTTTAGATACAGCAGCACTTTCCTTATATGGTAGAAGGTGAACCTTTGAGCATTAACACGGCCCCTCACCCTGCCTAACGGAACAGAAGCTACAGAGCTTCTCTACTGGCCCGGCATACTACTGTGTATGTGCTACCCTGACAGTGACGCTTTAGTCATATCTCCATGAGGACACAGGGGACACGAGTGCTATATCCCTTGTCTTAGACTGTATGTCATATCTGTCCTTGGTACTGCTTGTTTGCTAGCTCAGTAGAAAGCCTAAGTGAAAGTAACCTTGAAACCAGTCTGAGTTCTAGGCAGTCTTTGAATGCAAGCCAACCTCTGTGGTGGGACCTAGCTTAATGGCATATTCTAGAAAATGAGCAAAGTGCAGAATGGCTGGAATATATGGTATAGAGTGTGGAATGGGGGAAATTGAAGAGGCAAGCCAGGGCGACATCGTGACAGCACGTGCAAACTTTCGTGAGCACGTCTTCATCATGGAGACAGTGGAAAAGACAAAATAATTTTGAGGGATGTAATATGGCCAGGTCTGCATTTTAGAGCAATCACTAATGGCAGTGCAAGGATTCCATGCGGAAGGACCAGTTAGGCGGCTGCTCTTACGATGCAGGGAGAGGTGACGATCCAAATGTCTGTGGAAGTGGAGACAGAGACACCGGAACAGATGGTCGATTTACAAAGTCCAGAGCGTAGGAAGGGAAGGGGTGAAGGAAAGGGAGGCACTCACAAACGTCCCAGGCTTGCTGGATGTGCGGTGGCATGAATAATTTTATTCTCTGAGCTAGAACACGAGAGGGGTACAGGTTTTGGAGAGAAAATGATGAGGGAAGTTTGGAGGGTGATGTATTTTTGAGGCCCGCAGGTCATGTCCAACAAGCAACTCTATAGCCAAGTCTGAATACATATTTTAAAGTAGAAAAGTTGAAAGAATGAAGTTACCGTGTGAATATGAAATATCAATTACAAAAACAAGGATGATGGGGTCAGATGAGAAAACACAACTCTAAAACACGTGCTTAAGGAACATGCAAGAATAGCCAAGTACTGGTAAAATATAAACTGAAGCCATGGGTGATGCAAAACAAGGAATTAAGAAATTGGAGGGTATTAAAAACTCAAAACTCGACTGCCACCGTGAACAAACCCATTTTCTACAAATGCTCTCATGGAATGAGAGTCCTCTTCTTTGGTTGTTGTTAGGAAGGGATGTGGTATTTTGAGCTACAGAGTCTGCTGGAAATTTTAATTGTTTACTAAAACACAGTAACTGGACACCCCGGCCTTCTGAGAATTACTAAATAAAACAAAAAAGCCTGCTTCAGGTTCAGAAAGGACATAGTTCACCTCAGGCACTTGGCACAGAGACACAGGGAATGTGATGCAAGCATTTCTTTCTCTACGAAGAAAATACTTCTAAGGGGAGTATGAGAAGTTTGTCTCCACACAACTGACATGTGAGCATCGTGAGTCCAAACTAAATGTGTTAGTCAGGAAAACGTACTGGCGGACTTCCTTCATTAGGCAGTGGCTTAACGGAGAACAATGCCATTACTTACATCAGCTGCCTCCTCCTTGAAATCACAAGTTTACAAGCACTGCCTACAGGGGGAAGGTACAAGCTCCAGACCAGAGTTCCCCTAAACTCAAATACTGAGCATGGACCTCTTACCATTCTTTACTGGCACAATATCCACAATTTTATACACACAAATCTATGATTCCATTGCATCTAATACGTTTTGTGTGGATTTGCATTAGCTGGGGCAAAGAGGCTATACATCATACACATAGCAAATTCGTATTTCCTGTTTACCATTTAGTGCACGCGCACGCGCCCACACACACACAAAGCACACAGGCACACAGATAATCGAGCAGTGCTTTTTGAAAGTGCTGGACTTCCACAGGTTGGTGGCATTCTCTAAGGGTTCATAAGGAGGAGGATGGATACATTGAAGTATAACTTTCGGACAACCAAGTGAAAACAAATGCCAAATCACACTTTGAGATATAAAACGATGTAATTCAGATGTCTCTGTCATCTTATCATCTAGCTTCTGAGTCTGTGGGTATAATTAGTGTTTTTGTCATGCGACACAGAATAAGTTTCTCTGAATTCCTCCCCCCCCCCAAAATCCACTTATAGAAAAGCAGTTACTGGAGATTCTGTAGAAGGGAAAATCAGGTGGGTGAGTGTTCGTTCCTAAATATTTTCATCTACTTGAGCTACAGTATGTTATATCTGAAGTAAAAGCAGCACATTCATTAACTATAAGTACCCTCCTTTTTTTCTGTACTAGTAATACAGCGATCAAGATTGGCTCAACTTTAGATAAAGAGCAGAGCTTTTTGTAGAAATACTGCCCCCTAGTGGAATGATCATTTTTTCATATGTTTTATAAAACAAGAGTATACCATATTTAGTCACTATGCTGTTCTTTACAATTTGAGATTATAATTAAATAAATTGTAGTTTGGTAATTAATACCTCCAAAAATCATGTCATGAACTCTCATTTGATTTCCAAACTTAATTTGTCTGCTTAATAAAATGACAGTGATATTTCCTATGTGCAGTTAAGTATCAGTGCTTAGATTGAAAACAAAGCTTATTAAAAATCATCACTGTGGTTGCAGCCTAAAAGTCCCAGAAACCTATGCATATATGAAAATGCTTAAAAGTAACAGAAACCTTGCAGGGGCAATATCATATGATTACTTAACAACCTAGTCATTCTGTTTCTGATCTACTGAATCAATATTTTTCACTTAGTAAAACTAAAGGAGACAATTTCTCACTATATACTTCTATACAAACAATCCAACATCATAGATAATCAAACATAATTTTTATTTTTTTTAACATTTTTCATATATAAAGTGAAACATGGTGCTTAGTATTCTGTAAATGTGTAAACTTCAAACAAAATAACGCACAGTGAAGAACTGGAAAGTTATCAACCTTTCTCAATGTGTGGGATTACTCCTTAATCTTTATTGTGACCATTAAAAAAAAGAGTGGTTTGCATGAGTTTGAAACTGCTGCCCTGTGTTGTGTTTAATGCCTTCTCTGAATTGGATGAAATGAGGTCTTTCACTTAAATTTCACACTGAGCTATATGAATTGCATAGAACTAAATTAAACAAGGTTATCAGGTTGTGTCAACCTTATGACACATATCAAGTATTGAAATTGTTGGTTTATTGACTGCCCCCTTCCCCTGGATATTAAACATCTTGAGAGCTAGGACTGTAGCTTTTTAACTTGACCTAATACTTCAACAAAATTTTAACTGAATGAATAGATGGTATTAAAAAAAGATTTTAAAAAACCTAAAAAAATGATTGAAAATAAAATTTTAATTTCAGTATCTTTGATTAACCGTAAAATCTGCAATGAGATCTGCAGTCACAAGATGTGGGTTCAAATCTACTTTATCACAAATTATGTGACTTTAAGCTCCACTTCAACCAGGCTCCATTTTCTCATCTGAAGGAAAAGGGTAACAGCCGAACTACGTATTTCAGAGTAGTTGTAAAGGTCAATTGAGGTAATGTCTGTGAAAGTACTTTGTAAATATCCAACAAATGTAATTTTCTGTTATTCTACTGCATATTCATGTAAGAAAAATGTGTATAAATCTCTTAAGATGTGCTGTGACAACTCACATTAACATATATATTATATGCCTTTCCCAAATGAAGAACAGCTTAACTCCTCGCTTCAGCCTCCAAATATGGTCATTCCCCACAACAAACGCCCCTTCCTTCAAGACACAGCCCGCAGCCATTTCTTTTCTCTCACACACACTGTGAAGGGCGCCTCTGCATCCCGTTCCTCAGCACACAGCAATCTGACGGTCCACCGCTTCCTGGAGAACGGCTTCAGTACGGTCCATCCATTGATTCCTCTCAGTCCCCCTCTTACCTCCGAAGGTGTCTTTCGAGTACCTCTCCCATACACTGGCTTCTTTCTTCAAAACGACTATATTTTTTTCTTACTTCTGTGATTCCTCTTTTTTACTGGTTCCGCTTCTTGTTCTTCCAATGCTGGTGTCGCATGAGGTTTCACCCTTGGACCTCCTCTTTTCTGTCCGTGTGATTCCGCTTCGATGCTCCCGCCTACGCCCAACGACTCAGGCATCATCTCTGCAGACCCAGCTTCTACACCTGTGTCTTTTTCCCGGCTCCCTCCGAGGTTCCAGGTCTCTATTTCTAATTGTTGACCACATATTAACATTTCCACCTGTGTGCTGTTTGGTCTACGTGTCAAATTCATTATCCTTCTCCCGCCTTTTGCTGCCCCTCTGGGTCGTCAGCCAAGCGGAAATCTTGGGAGTCCTCAGTGATGTCTCCACTCTCCCTCACCACTATCCGCACAGCTATGCACAGGATCTGCTGATTCCATCTCGGAAATGTCTCTCTAAGCCATCACCTCTCTTCTCCATTTTAATGTCCACTGCCTTCATTCTGGCTTCATTATTTCTGTTTTACAGTAATTTGATTGCCTCTGAACTAGTCTCTCTGCTTTGGTCTCTCTCATTTTAAGTCCATCCTATTAAATATGATGCCAAGGAAATAAAAACACTCCGCTACTGGTTATGCCTACCCTTTGCCTGAAAAATAAACTCCAAACTCTTTGACATGGCATCGGAGACCCTAAATAATCCGTTTCCAACCTGTTTTTCCAGTAAGTCCTGTCCACACCCTGCTTTCTCTAGAACATGGCACACACTTTCAGTTTCATGCCCTAGTTCATGATGTTCCCTCATCCTGTTATGGTTGTTTTTCATTCGTCTGAAGCCTACACATCTTTCAGGCCCTTGTGATGCAATTTTCTCTGTAATGGCTCCTCTATCCTGCCTTCCAGAGAGAATCAATCCTTCCTTCTTCTGTACTCTTCTACTGCTATTAAAATTAAATTTAAGTGCTAGAAGCCTTTATCCCCTCCACTGCATTAGACTCATAGGGAAAAGTCTTACCATTTTGCTTTTCACAAGGACTGACAAACAGAAGATTCCCGATAAATACTGAACAGACTTATTCCTGATTCATGTAGCAAATACAGGGAACAAACTTTAAGAGGAACCCTCACCTGTATAAAATGTATAAGCCACATCATACTGACGTTTTTGCCAGTTATTGTTGGAATCAAATGAAAATCATTTGGCTTTAGATAATAGTGAAAATTTACCCTAAAGATTAATTAACCATTGTAATCCTTTTGGTATTAGTAAACCAAACAGCTCAATTTCTCTCTTGAAGTCAGTTTGGAAGGAGGCAGGAAACAGTTACATAAAAATCCAATCAAGTATCTGTAAAAATAAATAGAAATCAAATATGAGTTCCTTACTAGTGCTATTGGAATATTAAGGTAAGGATCACTTAGTCTATTAAAGTATTTTGTGTGTTAAAGGGTTAAAGATATTTTGAAGACTAAAAATACTATTAATTCAATTAAAACTAACCTTAAAGAAAATTAGATGTATGCTAAAGGGTCAGAGCTAAATCACTGTCATGAAATATTTTTAGATAACTCTAAAAAACCCATCTCTAATAAGTGATAATTTTGTGAAATTACACTCAATCTTGCTCTATGGCTGAAGATCAGGTATCAACAAACTATAGCTTGTGGGCCAAACCTGGCCCTTCACTTGTTTCATAAATAAAGTTTTACTGAAACACAGCCACACTCATTTGTTTCTGTTATCATTCCTGTCTGCTTTTGCTCTGCAAAGATGAGTAGTTGAGACAGAGACTGTATGTCTCACAAAGCCTAAAATATTTACTATTTGGCCCTTTAAAGAAAATTGGCCAACAACTCCTGTTGTAGATAATCAGTTGGAAATCTAGTTGACAACCAAGCCGCTTTGTGTGTGTGAGGATTTCTTATTCCAGAATTTAGAATCTTTATGTAAAGGCTTCTTCTCAAAAATAAAAAATTAAAAAATTAAAAAGAAAGGTATAAGGATATTATGACCCAGCAATCCATCTTCTGGATACTTACCAGAAAAATCTGAAAACACATATGTAAAGATATATGTACCCCTATGTTCATTGCAGCGTTATTCAAAATACCCAAGACATGGAGACAACCTAAGTGACCTTTGATCAATGACTGAATAAAGAAGATGTGGTACATATATACAATGGACTACTACTCAGCCGTAAGAAAAGATAAAATACTGCCATTTGTGACAACATGGATGGATCTTGAGAGTATCATGCTAAGTGAAATAAGTCAGACAGAAAAGGATAAGAACCTTATGATTTCATTTATATGTGGGTTATAAAACAAAAAGCAACAAACTCATACACACAGACAACAGTATGGTGTTCACCAGAGGGGAAGCCGGGTGTGAGGAGGATGAAGAGGGTCCAATATCTGATGACAGAATAAGACTAGACTTTGGGTGGTGAGCACACAACGCAATACACAGATGGTGTATTATAAAGTTGTACACCTGAAACTTACATAATTTTATTAACCAATGTTATCCCAATAAATTTAATTTTTTTTAAAAAGGATGTTATGATAGGAAAATACAGATTATTAAAGGATAAATTATTTTAGTTTTCTATCTTTAACATATGCCTGCCTGGTTATTCATTAACTAGGAAAGGGAGTGGCTGGTCTTTATATTAGAGTATGCCACTATCGTTTCACTAAAAAGTGGAAACGTAATTCTTCCTATAGGAATAAAGGAGTAAATATAATTACTTGTAAAAATAAGGGGAGGGGAAGATGGAAAGAGGAAGAAGGGGAGAGGAGGTGGCAGAGGGGAGCGAGAACCTGCTGTACCTCATTCTCTAATTGATATGAAGCCAATCTGTGTACCAAAATTAAGGCCATCTCGGACATGGGAGAAGAACTTGTCAGGATTGCAGGATGTACAGAGGTTGAGATCTTGCTTCTGGTTCTCAATATTCTGTGGTGGAATTCCTCCCCGTTCTAGAAGAATCCTTAGGACAAAGATTTTTCAGAAGATAGCAAGAGTTGATTTTACCAATAGTCAATGCAATATGAAAAACGTATGGATATTGGTGCAGAAGAATTGTTGAAAATATATACTTGGAAGAATGCAAATTGTTATTCAGTTACAGAGCGTGGACTAGTCAGGGAATGGTACATTTTATCACCATGTGTCACCTAAATTCATATATGAAGTATACAACTTTCCATATTGTCCTGCAGACATCAGCTGGGTATAGAATTCCGTACTCAAAACCAAGTTCTTATTTTAGAAGAAAATTTAAAGTTGCCAGGGTGTTTGTAAACAAGATTCATTTAATTCAGGCGAGGCATGCTTTTTAGTCATGTGGCACTCCCATCTCCTTTCCTCCTATTACCAAATTTTTCACACAAAATTTGTTTTTCCATAAAGACTTTATGATACAAAATTTGACTGTAAATTAGTGATACTTATTGCACAAGTAACATTTAAGAATTCATTTCAATCCTTTCTACTTATGCGCTAAATGAGGCCGAATCTCGGCAAGGTTCTGCTGACTGGAATAGAAACATGATTCAAATCAGACATCAATTTTCCTTTGTAGAAAGGACAAATTTTAACAGCTAATAGCAAAACTTCATAAACTCAAAAATGCAAGGGACCATAAAAAATTTGAATGTGACTGTGTTTATATCATCTACTATTTTTGGTAAGAAATATATTCCTCTAGCTAATTTGAGAATACAATACCGTATTTCCCGATGTATAAGAAGCACCTTAATTTTGGGGCCCAAAATTTGAAAAAAAATGTTATTACATAAAGTTACTGAACTCAAGTTTTATTCATCATAAAATTCATACAACTCCTCATCACTGTCAAAACTCCCAACCATTAGCTTGTCCTCATCTGTGTCTGACGACGAATCACTGTCTTCATATATTGCCCCGTCCTCAGTTCCATCTATGGCATTTGAAATCCACGACCACTGTATAAGACGCACCCAGTTTTTAGACCCCAAATTTTTCGAAAAAGGGTGCATCTTATACATGGGGAAATACAGTAATTTTTAAAATATCAGCTTCCTGAGAGTTTATTAATAAACAACTTTTAGCTGGGGAATGGCTATTAAGTCAAGTACATCCCAACTTTTCTACATGGAGTTTAAGTAGCTCTCTTAAAACTATATGCCAGCTGTTTTCTTCCTTCACTTTTAAATCAAGAAGAGATACCACCCAGGAAAATTTCTGTTATTAAAACTTAGGTGAGAACAGATTTCATATTTAAAATGAGTTTTTGTATACATGTATATGTCAGCAATGTAATTATCTGCCACCTGAATTTTTCTTATATTTACCAATTATTCTTTAATTTTCATTTTAGAAGCAATAAGCAATAAGCAAACTTACCTGGTGGCTTTACGAATGTCAACATAGGGATCTGGGGAGTCAAGCAACCGTACACATTCAGGATCAAGATTATGAAACGCCTTTGCTGATTCCCTTGGAAGCGTGAAACAGCAAGGTCCCACTGAAGGTCCCAGGGCCACAATAATATCCTCCACACTGCAGCCATATTCTGCTACCATAGCATTCACTGTAGCCATAGCAATACCTAACAAAGTGCCTCGCCAACCTGGTAAACAGGAGAAAAAGAGATCAAGTTATAACATGACAAAATTTCACCTTAATTTATATCTAAGTTAAAAATGAGCAGAGCCAGTTTATGTATTTCTCAAAGTCCAGAAATAAGTGAATTCACAAAATTAATTAAGCTAAATAACCAATTAACTAATTAAAATACTGGTTTTTCCAGGAGGTATATTATATGTAGCACCTGACACAGAAGAGACATTTAATGGAGGTGGGGGTCCCTTCCATTTCCTTTTAAAATGTTCTGTGCTTTAGTTTCCACTGGGATTAGACCTTCTTAAGTCTTTTCTGTCTCTCTCTCTTCCTGCCTCACTTTTTTTCCTGCATTTTAAAACATTGTGGAAAAAAACACATAAAATTTACCATTTTTAACCATTTTGAAGTGTGCACTTCAGTAGTGTTAAATATATTTATTGGGTCATTGGGAAAGTCATGACGTATTTTTCTGTTTTTCAATGCAAAAATGCATCATGATTTTCCCGACGACCCAATACATTGTGTGGGCAATCTCCACAAATTTTTCATCTTGCATAACTGAAACTTTATACAAGTTATTAAATGATAAATCACCCTTTGCGCCTTCCCCCAAACCATTCTAATTCCTGTTTCTATGAATTTGATTACTTCAGATACCTCAGATAAGTGGAATCATACAGTATTTCTCTTTTTGTGATTAACTTATTTCACTTAGTCCTCAAGGTTCATTCATGTTGTAACATGTGTCAGGATTTCCTTCTTTCTTAAGGCTGAATAATATTTCATTGTATGTATATACCACATTATTTATCCATTAATCCATCAATGGACACTTGAGTTGCTTCAATCTCTTGGCTTTTGTGAATAATGCTGCTTATCAGCATGGGTTTGCAAATATCTCCTTGAGATTCTGCTTTCAGTTCTTTTGGAAATATACTCAGAAGTGGAATTGCTGGATAGTATGGTAATTCTATATTAAAATTTTTGAGGAAACACCATACCATTTTTCTGTAGCAGCTGCACCGTTTGACATTCCCACCTGTAGTGAATCAGGGTTCCAATTTCTCTGTATCTTCACCAAAACTTGTTACTTTGTTTTGTTTGTATGTTTGTGTGTGTGTTTGTTTTTATATATTAGCCATCTTAATGGGCATGAGGTGATATCTCATTGTGGTTTTGATTGAATTTTCCTAGTTATGCTGAGCATCTTTTCACATGCTTGTTGGTCATTTGTATATTATCTTTGAAGAAATGTCTATTCAAGTCCTTTGTCCATATTTTAATCAGGTTACTTGCTTTTTCGTTGTTGTTGAGTTGTAGGAGTTCTGTATATATTCTGGATATTAATCCTTTGTCAGATATATGAATTGCAAATATTCTCTCCCATTCCGTGAGCTGCCTTTTCACTTTGTTGATTGTGTCCTTTGATGCAGAGAAGTTTTTAATTTTGACAAAATCAAATTTATCTGTTTTTAATTTTGTTGCTTGTGCTTTTGCTCTCATAGCTAAGAAACCATTGCCTAATCCAAGATCACAAGGAATTACACGTGTTTTCTTCTACGAGTTTTAGAATTTTGGCTCTTACATTTAATTCTTTGATCCATTTTGAGTTACTTTTTATATATGATGTAAGATAAGGGTCCACCATCCATTCTTTTGCAAGTGAATATCCAGTTTTCCTAGTGCCATTTGTTAAAGAGATTGATTGTGCTTTTCCCATTATACATTCTCAGTATTTGACCATACATGCAAGGGTTTATTTCTGGGCTCTCTATTCTATTCTATTGGTCTATATGTCTGTCTTTATGCCAGCATCATACTGTTTTTATTACTGTACCTTTGGATTATTTTTTGAAATCAGGAAGCGTGAGACCTCTAACTTTGTTCTTTTTCAATAGTTTTGTTTTGACAGCTTTATCTTTGGTATTTTAAAACTTAATGTTTTAAAACCTAAGAAGTAACAAATCATATCTCCTTTTTATATCCAGGAACTAAGATTCAAACTTTAAATAACTTTTGACAATGTCAAATAACAATACTGACTTGTACTCATCTGATTCCATTACTTTCGTTGGGTCAAAAGAAAAATATGCCACTTCCTTATCTATCTATGGCCTAAAAAAGCAAAGTGGTCATAGATTTACAAGCAGAAGGAAATCCAAAAGATCATCTCTCATTTCACATAGAGTCATTATCACTAGATAATCTAAATGGTATTTTTAAAAACCTCCAGAAAACAAAACTCCATAACCTTAACACATCATCTAACAACTTTTAAATTTTGTTCTTATCCTCAGAGAACTGTTAAAGCCACTAGACTATAGCATACTGAACCAAATGCAGTTTTCCAAACATTTCTCCTTTGTGCTTGTCTCCATACCTTCCTACATGCTGCTGCCATCTTCATGAACACCTTTCCCCAGCGTGCCTAACCTTCCTGTTCCCCGTTGCCTGGACTCCAATCCAAGGCTTCTCATCCAGAGGCAGTACCACTCCCTGGGGAGTGTTTTGAAAAGCATGATGGCGTTTTTTTAAATTACAATAATTGGGGATTTCGAAAGTCAAGCAAACTGTCTGCAATGCAAGATTATCTTGCCCAAAATGTTATCTGCATTCCTTCTGAAAAACACTGGTACCTAGCCAAACCCTACACATTCCTCAGGAATCAATCCAGGTACGTACTTCTGGGAATTCCACTCTAATTCATACAATTTGACTTAGGTACTTCTTTCATCTGCTTCTATAATAGGATTATGCTGAACCTACCCCTATCTTTACACTTATCACCATGTAAAGCAATTAACTGTTTGTCTGTCATGCCACCAGAAAGAAATGATTTTTCCTGTACTAAAAAATTGGTAAAATCCTACATGCTTAATTAAGTTTACTTACCAGAGTGAGCAACACCGCATGCTTTTTTGACAGGATCTGCAAAAACTATTGGTATGCAGTCAGCACCAAGAGCTGCTATTGTGACTCCTCTCTCATTGGTGGTGATTCCATCGTAAGATTCAGGCTCTGTCCTTCCCATCACCCAAACGTCATTGGCATGATCAGTCTAATACCAGAGGCGTGCAATAAAAGTGTTTTGAAAGTAGAACTTCTCATACCATCAGTTCTTCTGAAAGTACTCATTTTGTACAAAAGCATATAACCAGTTTAAGACTGCTAGCATTCATTAAATATATCACCTCTACATATGATAAAATAACAAATTTACTTATCATTTAACTTTTGGTATTATAATTTCTGCATGTTTTATTCAAAGGAAAGAAGACTTTAATATTTAAAATTTTAATATTTTAAACATAACAAACACCTCCCACTAGAAATGGCTCCCTATGTGCAGTGCTTTCCACGAGAACTGCCATAATTCATTGAAAGAAATTACCAAGTCAATGATATTTTTACTTGTCCTAGACTCAGGTAAAGCTAGAATTCTGTAAGGAGCAAGGCATTATCGCATCAATTGTACCCTAAGTTCCTAGTGTTGATTTAGAAAATGATGGCTTTTCTCTCCCACCATTTATGAACCTTTCTTCTAAATTAAAAAGGGCAGTGGTACTAACCTTTCTGAGAACCAGCTGTACTTTTAGACCTGCAGAGCGCCAGGTGAAATATATATGTCACAGAATTGATTTTCAAGCTACAGCCTACAGATCTAAGAAAAACAGCCCCAAGTATTATCCTCAAGTTCTAGATGAAACACCAGATGCAAAAAGCTAAAATAGCTGGATTAAAGCTCATTAGTCATTAGCAGAGTCAAGCATAAACTGGAGATCTTTCAAAATAGGAAACATAAATTTTACCTTTATTCGGTAAAATTTCTTTGCATTAAATCCTGCGGCACTCCCCAATCTACGCAGATTTTCTTGAACAACTATCTTGGGATCTCTCCGTTTGGAACTACTGAAGAGATTCAATGAGCTGAGAGTTGGAATGTAAGATATCCCGCCTGTTCTTGTAGTAAATCCATGTATGAAAATATCTGTTGAAGATAAGTAGTGAAGATTAAAACTATGTTAATACAAAAGACTATAAAGAGCATCACACTGCCTATCTCTTGGTTAGGCTCTCCCTGATCATCTCAACCTGCATTCGTTTCTCTGACATCTAATTTCTACAGCACTTTGACCTTATGCTTTGTATTTGTTTTACCTTTCCTTTGGGGTTATCGATCTTCAGAGAGTGTCTTCTGTCCTATTTGTCTTTGTTATACCCAACAGCATATAGTTTACAGTAAATATGGCTTAACCAGGAAGTACAATTGACTGTTTTAAATTTCAATCTTCTGTAAGGGTGCTAATGAGGTAAGATTTCAGAATTGCTAAATAGGAGATGCTTCGGGTGTAAATATCTTAACAATTACACTGTTTTGTACAACTGAAACTAATAAAAAATAAATAAAAGAAGCCTGGGGATTTGTCTTAAGGCTGAATTTGCAAAAAGCAAATATATTTACTTAGAACAGTGGTTCTCAACTTGTGGGTCGCGACCCCTTTGGAGGTCGAAGGACCCTTTCACAGGGGTCGCCGGGCACTCGTATATGGGCATATCTGCATGTGGGCCTGGAGATGGATAGAGGAGCGGTGTCTCAGTTCCTAAGACCATTGAAATTATGTGTTTTCTGATGATCTTAGGCGACCCCTGTGAAAGGTTGAGAACCGCTGACTTAGGGTGACTTTGCAGGGACTATCCCTTGATATCCTGTGACTTCCCTAACCCTACAAAACCATCTATGACACTCCTATGTTGCAATGACGCTAATGAGCACATAAGCCCACGATTGTCTATAAAAGAAAGAAGGCAAAACAAGAGGTGAACAACTTCAAAAGAAAGACTGTTTTTTCCCAATCTGTGGTTTAACATACCTGGGATCAAAGGAGATGTGATAATGGTTAATTCTCCATTCAGTGCTGGCAGACTTCTCAAATGCGTTTCTATTTCATTCTGGATTGCTTCTAGTTCTTGAGCTGTGATCATGTTTATTTCAGTGGACTGTTTCAACAGACCTCCCCTCAAAGTCAGCTGTAAATCTTCAAACTCAAAATTGTAAACATCTGTGAAGAGCAGGTCAATAAAAGCCTTCATTAATGTCTTCCGGTGTGTGGGTACAATTACCTTAATGCTGCTCAGATTTCTTTCATCAATTTTTTGTTTAATGGTATACAAAGAGGCAGCTGTGCTGGGATTGCTAACATTCTCAAATTCTCCCAAGAGAGTTGACAATCCATTGCTTGTTTCTAATTCATAATTATCATGGTCACCATCCCTTTGACAGCTGATGTTACTGCAACACATTATGCAAAGGAACTTGGCCTTGGCAGCATGGTGGTATCGAATAGCATTCAGTGTCTTCAGCAACGTTTGATGATAGTTTTTCTGAGAGTTCAATTTCATTCCGAAAAGATCAATCAACACTGCTTCTGCCATCTTTCAATAACTATACAAAGCTCTTCAAAGAAGACTTCTGTGCCCTCCCAAAATCACCTGTAAAGAAAAATTAGCATGAGTGCAAAATTATATCGATCTTTTCATAGTTACAACAGAAACGTGTGGCTAGAAAAGAGAATTGCATTGATCTAAAAATGTAACCAAAATGGTAAATCTAGAACCCTCCTGGAAAAGCTAGTCCACTATTTGTCATGAGAATAATGACACTTCAAGCAAAGCCACCTCTTAATTCGAAGTATATGTACATCTTTCCGACAAAACAACAGTTCCTGGGGGTTTTTTGTTTTGTTTTCCCTAGAGCAAATTTTAAGCAGGGAGTTACTTGTGGCTTTAGACCAAGTCCTATTTCTTAATTACATGGTGTCAATTTATATATCATTAATTCTGACATGACTGACATGCTAGGTCACATCCCTTCATAGGAAATACCAGAGCTTTAAATTCAATATGTTAAGTGGAGCTGTACTTTCAAATCGCGTTTTTAAGGCATAAAAGCTGAGACGGCCTAGCTATTTCCTTCCAGGATTTACACACTACTACTCCAGGAACGGCAATGGCCACAGAAGTGACTGCCATTTGGATCCGACGTACCCACCTGCTTTCCCACTCGTGGCTGCCCGAGGTGTTCTCCCCTCCAGCCCCCGACCTCCCGGCCCAGGCTGTCGGCCCCTCTTTGGCGACCCGTTTCCGTGACCCCCTTCGCCCCGCACGGTTTTTCCGGCCGCCACTCCAACCTCCACTCCCTACCGTCCGGGGCGCCCGCTCAAGTTCATCTCGCCAGTTTTGCAAAACGTTAAGAGAAGTAAGGGCGACCGTGCAACACCACCGAAGGCGCCGGTCCCGTGCCGATCCCGCGCTGGGCTCGGCGGGGCGGGGCCGCACCCGCCGGGACACGCCCCCACTCGGCCCCGCCCCTTTGGGACTTTCCGACGCGCGGACGCAGCCGGCGGGCGGCTGAGCGGCTCCTCGGAGTTGGGCGCCCGTCCGCCGCGAGCTGTCCGATGTGCCGCCCCCACCCCGAGCCCCCCAGCACCCGGGAGCGTGTCATCAGGGGTCAAAAGACGGGTCCCCGGGCCTCTGTCGGCGGCGGCGACGGCCGTCCCACCTGGGCGACCTCACGCACCTCGGCGCGGACCGGCGGATCCCCGCCGGGCACCCACCAGGTCCGGGTCCCGCAGGGCGCGGCCGGCCGGCGAGGGGCCGGGAGGCGGGAGCGCGTGGGAGGAGCGGCGGGGCGGCCGCGCCCACGTAAGGGAACCCGGCCGGAGCTCCGGGCGCAGTTCCGGGTGCGCCCCGCCTAGGGGAGAGGAACAGGAAGCCGGCCGCGGAAGGGCCCCGGGGCCGGAGCCAGGCGGGCGGCGGAGCGGCCCCGGGAGCACGTTGCACGCTCGCCCCGCCCCGGGAGGGGACGCCCCGCCCTGAGTCCGCCCGCGGGCCGTTCGCGGCCCCAGCAGCGTGGCCGGGACGCGGTGTCGTCGCCAGAGCCCAGGCCTGAGCCTCGCTCCGTCAGCGCTTCGTCCTCTCCGGGGTTCTAGTAACAGGGCGCCTTTTTCTAAATGTGTTTGTTTGTTTCCAGAAACAAGTCGGGCCCGCGTTTGCCTTATGCCCCGACCCCGCCTTCCGTGCTGCCCGGACCAGCGCTCTCTGCAGCTTTATCCCCTGTGTTGACAAACACGTGTCCTGACGTCCTTTTAAAACTGTGTTCCACTAGGAGAAGGCACCAACCATTGGAATTGTGACCAAGGTGCACACCTGCGTCCGTTGTCAGCCCTCAAAGAATGTAACAATCACTTATTTTTAAAAAGTGCAGCAGGTGCGATGCAGAGGCTGTGGGAAAGGGAGAGTAGCGCCGGGTGGGAGAGAGGATGGTGTCAAGAGCCGGTCCTGATGGGGGGACACGTCCCTTTTTCCCTACAACTGCTCAGAGGACAAGTGGTGACAAGAATCTTGATTGACGGCAAGAACCTGATCCCTTGGGAGGCGGGCACGTGCTTCCACTCCGTTGTGTTTGACCAGACAGGGGGTCCCCAGCCCAGGGTGGGAACCTACAGCTCGGTATCCCTGGCAGGCGTGTTTGTCAACATTTGTATTGTCACTATTTTTGTGGGACGTTTGTTGAGAGCCCTGATCAGAAGGCGCGCTCTCTGCCCTGAGTTTGTTTTTTGTTAAGCATTCCCTTAAGCAAAATGGAGGTCTTTTAGTTACAAAGGCGGTTTAAAACATCCCCGTTTTTGTAGACAACGGTGGGAATTAATTTTTTTTGTTTTTATCCATGTTCCAAGTAGTGGCAGTAAGTTTAAAAAGAAATGTTTCGCAATAGGAAAGCTGCCAGAGAGGCGTTTGTCCTGTTCGATGTGCACACCGTTTCTTTAAACAGGCTGCTTCTAATCCTCGGCTCCTAACGCCCTCTTATCTCCGGGGACTCCACTCCACATAGACCTTTGCAACCCAGTGTCGGGGAGTCAAGTCTGGGCATGTTTTTCTTTACTGTTTGTTTTGTTTTTTTAAATCTCTACTGATGATTCAAATGCATAATTAGGTTTGCAAAAACAACTGGCCTATTCCCAAACCACTCAGGCTCAAGGCTGTTCCTTGGGCGGGCCACATGACTTCATCCTGTACTTTTGCTATTCCTTCTGCTTAGCACACCCTTCTCTTTATATAACGCTGTTGACAAAAAATATCCAGCCTAAGAGAAAACTTATAAGAGTGTATTTGAGCCAAACTGTTGACAATTGCCGGGAAGCAAAATCTCAATGGATTGAGAAAATGCTCCTAAGAACGGCAGTTTTATAGCTTACTTTATACATAAAATCAAAGGAAGAGGGCTATATGAAACCCATTGGTGATAGATGAAGGGGGTGGGAGAAAGCAAAGCAGGGAAATCTCTGGGATTGGATAAAAGCACACTGGAGAGACAGGTACTCCTCCCACACAGGTGGGTGCAGGATAGCTGACAGTTTGCTCTTTACAGCCCATAGAAATGATCAGGAGACAAGCATGATAATGAGGAATTCTGCAGTTTCCAGCTCTGGTCAAGAAAAAGGATTAAAGATGTTATTTTAGTACAAAAAGACCACAGGCACAGATGAACTTAATGAGGAAGCTGAAGATGTGACTTCCCACCATGGCCCACTTAGTTAAAAAAATTTTGTGTGTGTGTGTGTGTGTTCACACCATCTTAGTCTTAGTCTCCTAAACTTAATCAGGTTTAACCTGTGGTCCCTTTTCCATCCATAACACTTATTTAACTGTTGCTTGTTCAAAACTCTTCAAGCTCAAATGTGACTTCCTTGAATCCCCATCCCCTCACTAAACAGAATTAATGGCTTTTTCTTTAGCATTTTTTTTCATACAGAAGAAGCTCTCTCATAAATGCAATCTGGACCGATAGTCAAGCAATAAGTTGAAAAACTGAATTAAACATTGCCTTGTACACTGTATATAACAACTTGCTGGTATATAAATTCTATCTAAATAAAGCTGTTTAAAAGAAAAGTCAGTTAAACCAGAAAGTCATGAAAAAGTATAATAAGTACCTTAAACATTTTATTTTAACTTAAAACATTTTTAGGTTAAATGTATGCTCATTTGCCTCTGTATTGAGAAAGTCCGAGACTTTTGTTTTGCACATGGCCTTCTGATTAGAGTTCTGCCTCGTGCCTTGCATAAGCTATACCTCTAAACCATCAGCTAAGATTTCCCAAGATTTTGTTCCTTTATGAGGAAAATAACTTAAAAGCACTTGTGAAGCTATCTGAGTGCAGACTTCTTAATCTTTCATAGATACCTCACACATTCAAACAATTCACCTTTATTGGGTCTTTCCAAAATATTAAACATAGATTTTAAAGAAACAACAAACTTTATTTCTACACTGTTCAATTGGCTTACATAACATTTAGTTAAATTATGAAAGCACAATAACAAGTACAACTGGCATGAACAGGTTCAGGAAGAAACAAGTAACTCACTGTCAGATGGTACAGGTGAGCTGGTAGGACAGAGATGGGCAGAGCCACGAGAAAGTAGCTTCTTAACTATTGAGCATTGAGCTAGAGCTTTCAGCATGAGGGGGAATTAGCAGCTTATGATTTACAAAGGAAATAGAATGAGTTAATTGTCAGAGGTTAAACGTAATTAGACTTAGAGGTTGTCTACTGTATCGTCTACATTTTAATTCTTTGACTATTTCCTTCATATAGACTTACAGCATTTGAGGGCAGAGATAGTGCCTGTGTTAGGGGGAACCATTGGGGAAATCCACATTCTTATGTCACCATGTAAATCATCTCATGAGAATACGTGGGATTAAAAAAAAATGAACAATCATTTTTAAGCCATTTACACTAAGGTTTATGGGTACTTCCAGAAAAGGACATATATAACATTGCCCATTTTCTTGTGAAAAGCTGTGCTAGTTTCCTAAGGTTGCCATAACAAATTACCAAAATTGGATGGCTTAAAACAACAAAAATGTGTTCATTATCTCATAGTTACGGAGGCAGAAGTCTCAAATCAAGGTGCTATCAGACCCATGTTCCCTTCAGAGCTTTTCCTTGCCCCTTCCAGCTTCTGGTGGTTTTAGGTGTTCCTTGGCTTGAGGCTGCATTACTTGAGGCGCTAAGGCTCCGTCCATACATGGTCTACTTTCCTGTGTGTCTGCGTCTCAAATCTCTATCATTCTCCTATAAGCTCAGTGTGGAAATAAAGGCCAACCATATGAGAACAAGCAAAGGCTCTTCAGAGCTTGCTGGAACAAGGGAGTCAGCCACCATCACTTGTGTTTTGGCAGAGAATCAAAGGCAAGCAAGCAGAGAAGTGGGCAAGTTTTCTAGTGGGAAAAAAGGAAATGTTCATATAGTGGGAAAAACCTCCCCTGATTGGAGGCTTTTGACATGGGGAAGCTGTAGGTTGGCTAATCCTATGTGATTGGTTAAGGGTGCATATTTGGCTTTCTCTGGTTGGTCCCAAGTTGGAAGTAGGGACAAAAATTAGGGAAGCTGTCAGTTATTAACCAAGCGCTGGCCATTTTGGGTCAACTGTTACATGGGTTATTGTTTAGCTCCTGGATTATTAGAGGTAGGGGCCTGACTTCCTGCAAGTCTGACTTACGGATAGCAGGCTGGCTTCCTGAACTGGTTATTGCAGGTAATGGGTGGGTGGGTGTTGGTTTCCTGGGTTGGTTGCTGCAGGCTATGGGTCAGTCTTCTATGTTTATATGTTGTCTGGTCACTGCTTATTTAGTGCCCACTCTATATCCAGGATGATCTCATCCTGAGATGCTTAATTACATCTGCAAAGAAGATCACATTCACAGGTTCTCAGGATTAGGACATGGATATATTGGGGGTGGGGGTCACCTTCAACCTACTGCAAGCTCCTCTTGGTTTAGAAATCATGCTTGCTTGTTTATAGAGTAAAAAAAGACCTTTCCCCGTACTGTCCTAAATGAGACAAACATGTAGGTATGACTGGATTTCATCGAAGGCCTGTAATTTTTTTTTTCAAACAACTGCCTGGGTATCTCTTAAAGCTTGGATTCAATCCCTACACCATTCCTTGTATGTCTGCACTCCAAAGCAAGATATTTTAGTAGTTCAGTACTATCTATACATTTAGAGAAATCCCACCTTTGGTAAAAAGCCATAAGTAACGTGTAACTTTTGAATGTTGTCTATATTGGCTTTGATAGGAAGTGAAGGAATAGAACAAATCCTCTGTGTTTTTTTTTTTGTTTTCAGCATTCAGAAACTTTAATCTCATTGCCTAGCCAGAGAAGAGTATGCTTCCTAGATTCAGCAGGTTCTAAGACATTGATATATAACAGGTATGCAACATATTTTTAACGATGCAATTAATTGCTTTTGGATGACTCTGATGATGTTATAACTTCTTGAAAACGTGATTGAAAAGACTTCTAATCTTTTTTACCTAAAATATGTGTTACTGATTCTTACTCTTTGGTGCAATATCATATTTTTTTCCTGTTATGCTTCTTTAATTTGTTGGAATTGAACCACCCAGATCTCATTCTATCATGTTTATGACAAATATAGGACATAATTTAAAATTCCCTTGATTTTAGGGAAAAAAAATTTATCTCCTTTTTCCCCAGGTTAATTTTTTTAGCTTATTCAGCCAAACATCAGCTTTAATATTAAACTCCCCTTTCCACTTAGAAAACAATTTCACACTTAAGTGAAAATTATCTACAAAATTGTTCTTTCCTTGTTTTCTAATAAAATATTCTAAAGGTGGTTAGATGAAATTATAAACTTAACTACCTAAATTACTGGTAGGCCCACACAGCAGCTTTTTCTATTCAAAATGAACAATGGTGCTTATATGACATGGGTATGTATACACAACTGCCTTCTCTTAATTCTTCTAAACCAAAAGCTCTCAAAAGCCCCAGTGAAGTTTGACAGCCTTGTTTTAGTTTGCTCATTAACTTGGAGGGAGGGCCAGATGATAAGTTTGCAAAAGCTGGGACCACGTCTTATTCAAATTTCCTCCCAAGGGCCAAGCACAGGGGCTTACCTCTTGAATTCAAATGAGACCATGCACAAAACGTGCCTATTATAGGGCTTTACTACATACTAAGTATACCTAGTAAATGTTAATTCGGACACTAATTGTTTCAAATTGCATCCATCCTACTTGTTGGATATGTGGCCTGTGGCATACTTTCTAATTTCTCCAAGTCTTAGCTTCCTCACCTACAAAACATAGGCGAAAATAAAATCTAGCTTGGAGGATTGCTCTGAGGGGAAAAAGATAATCCATGTAAAAGCACCCAAAACGCTGCTGGTTACTTAGTACTCAATAAATGTTGACTATAGTTAATATAGAAGAATGGTGGTTTATTTAGTATTTGCATTGCACTGTTTTCTGTAAAACTTTTTTAGTTGAAAGTGGGTTTTTTTTTTAATGATTTTGTTTTATGTGTAATGCTTGGATAGTTACTATCAAATACCATAGGAATTGTAGTTTTGTTTATTTTGGAATCAGAGTCACTTAATTCATCTTTATATTCCTTACAATGCCATGCATATAATATGCACCCATATATGTGGTTTGAATGAAAGAGTAATTGGTACTATTTGGGCTCTAAACCCTTGTTTTCATTGATTTATACAATTGTAATGAATTATCAATAGATGGCAGTAGTTTGTTTTCATTTTTATTTTTTGTCTATTCTACAGTGGAGATCCAGAAAAATACTAAAACTTTCCCAATTTTAAAGCAGATATACTTTCATAAATAGTTGGTTTAAATAAATGCCGCCCAAGAGTTCGTCAATTTATGTTGCTTTAGAAATAGAGATCGAGAAGTACCAATGACTTTATTTTTTATTGTGTGAATTTAATTTTTTCATTTTTTAGATTTCTTCATCAAATACTTCAGAGAGTACAAAAGTGAATAAGACAGTGGTATTTGTCTTTCTGGAGCTTATAGTCTAATGGAGAAATACAATCTAAAATAATGGAAATAAAATAAAAATTGGTTGAGTGTCAGGAATTTGCTAAATGCTTTACATGTATTATTTTATTTAGTCCTCACAATAATCTTACTGAGGCAGGTACTTCGATTGCTTCCATTTTAGAGGTAAGGAACCTGAGGCCAGGGTTGGAACGAATTTACCTAATAAACTCGTAAATGGCGCATCCTGGATTCAAGACTAGCTCTGTCTTACTCTAGGACCTATACTGTTATAAGTCATGATGTTATAAAGATATAGAAACAGTTGTACTAAAGAGAGAGAAATCACCTCTTCCGAGCAAGATGAAGGCTTCTTAAAGAAGATGCAATCTAGGAGAGAGTTGAAATATTGGTTGCAATGTTAACATGATCAGAACAGTGTTTTAGGAGCATTATTCTGTCAGTAGAACAGACTGAATGGGAGTGGAGATAGACTCCACATACCTATTCTGTGCCAGGCATGGTTCTACATCTCTGACCTCACTGAGCTTACATTACTAAAAGAAGATAGAAGAGAAGCAAATGTATAAGATGTCAAGAAAAGAAACAAATAGGTATCAGTGGTGATAAATGCTATTAAAAAAATGAGGCAGGGTAAAGAAATGGAGGATGGAGGGCAGGTCACGTTTTAGAGAGAGTTGTCAGGAAAGGCTTCTCTACTAAGAACAGTACTTGGAGGCGGTAAGGAGTAGTTGGATTCCAAAATAATTTAAAGGTGGAACCTGTGAATTTTGCCAAAAGAATTCCATGCAGCTTGTAAGAGAAGGAAAGAGTCGAGGTTCTGGCTGGTCCTTTGGGTAAAACAACTGGGCAGCAGTCTCAGGCCACATACTTGGGGAGGATTTCCCAAAGGACCTACAGAACATCAACACTGAGCTCCTATTTATGATTATCTTAAGGAAGTCTGGGTCAGTTGCTCTGGGCTCTACACCCTTTTAAAGACCTCTCTACTAATGTCTCCAGGGTTTGGGGCCTGAGCGAGAAAAATGAACTTTATAATTTACTAAGATGGAGAAGATTATGAAGAAGCAGGTTTGGTGGTGGTGACGGACCCCAGTGATGGATAGAGAAATCGGGAGTTCAGTTGGGAACATATTATGTTGAAATGCCTATAAGAAATCCAAGTGGAGATATCAGGTAGGCAATTTGGTATCAGTCTGGAGCTCAAGAGGGATGTTCAGGTTAGAGATAACAATTTCGGCGTTGTCAGCTTATAAATGGATTTTAAAGCCATGGAACTGGGTGACATCACCTGCAAAATGAGTATAGGGAAATGAAGAGGCCTGAGGATGGAGCACTAGGACACCCTAACATAAATGAGAAAGGTAAGGAGGAACCAGCAAAGGAAACCATGAAGTATGTGTTTCAAAAAGGTGGACATGATCAAACATGTCAAATGACGTGACTAGTTCAAGAAAGATGACTGAACTTGTCCATTGAATGTGGAAATGTGAAGGTCATGGATACTATAAGAACTTTTTTTTTTTCTTAACTAGAGGTGGAGAGAGCTCTAAAAATTTCTCATGAAGAAATCTAGCTATCTGTTTTAGTGTTCTGTAAATTCAGGGTTGAATCATATTTTCAGCAGACAGTTTTGCAAAGAGAATGTCACCATTAAAAATGAAAGCATAAGACTGAATGACATTAGCAGAGATGATGTGTCTTTCCATTGGTGCGAAACTCTACTTTGGGCAAGAAATAATAATTTCTGAGAAGTTTATGTTTGGTTCTGGCTGATGAGGAGGGATAGCTGGGACTTGTCAGGAATGTCAGTCAACCGATCTGTGACAGTGATGCACCCTAAGGCCCATTTGCATCCTGTATAATATATATCTGGTGTACTTGGAAGAGATAATCTTCAGGGCAGGAGCAAATTATAGTCATGAAGGGGAGTCAGGGGTCAGCCAAAGGTCCAGCCTGAGGAGTTTGTGGTAACAGCCAAGCGCTGAAACAAGGAATGAAGAGTGAAATACAGAAGCCAAGCCCAGTAACAGGAGATGCAGAGGTGCAGTTCACACTCATTAATGGCCTTTGGGTGAGTTCTTACTGGATGTGGGCATAGGAGCCAGTTTGAGAGCCCAACTGGCATGGACTAGACAATAACTTAATTTACGTAAATTAGGATATACATCAAGTTCTGATCCCTCCTCACATCTGTGTGGCTTAAGGCACTACTTCATGAGTGAGTGAGAATAATACAACACTTCATTATTTAAATCGGAAGATAAATGGAAAGCAAGTGCTTCCCAAATGAGATTGACATATATCCATGGCTTTCTAAGTTACCGCCCTCATGATTCCTTGAACATATTGTTGACTTGGAATATTATGTGACATGATTCTAGAGAGGTGGGTTGTAGACAGTGAGCCATGCAGTAGCTGGCCATAGAAAATAAAAGTGAGTTTAAATATTTGTGTTATATTTTTCTTATAAACTTGCATTTTATTGCTGATTGAGAGTTTGGAGTACTATGGTTGGGCTCTTTGAAGCAGGCCTTGAAATTATTCTTATTGAAAGGATGAAAACTGTGAGTTTCACTTTTTGTTGTATTAGTGGAGTTACAGTGCTGAGAAGAATAAAAGAATCTGGTTTTTAATGATGCAGCACAGTGGTTCAGAGCATGTATTCTGGATGTAGCCGTATTTGCCTCTTCTGCCATGTACCAAGGCCCCTGCCCCTTGCAGTTAAAAGTACCAGCAGGGGAAAAACCCACATACTTAACTTAGCTCACATTCAGCTCTGGTATTTTCCTGCAAACAAAATTATTATAGGCCTGTGTTCTACTCCTGAAGAACCCAGAAAAGATGCTATGACAACAGGACAGATAGCATAAGGAAGTTCGGCCTTACATCTGTCTGCAGTCTCTTCCAAGTGCACTTGCCATAAGCTGTGAAGCCTCAGAGCTGAGCAAGCTGGCATCTTGAGGCTTGCTGGCAGAGACAGGCACACAGTCTGTACAGCAGCAGAGCAGCACTTGGGTTCTGGTTGTTATTAGGGCCGTTCCCTGGTATTCGATTCCAGCCCTCTTTGGACATGTAATGGAAGTCACTTCCTTATTATGTAAACTTGGGTGAGATCACCGACTGGCTTTTACCAGTGGGGTGTACATAGAGGTTATATGTGCCATTACTGGGCGGAGAGCTTGACGTGAGAACATGACTTCCTTGCTTCCTTCCCTCTACCGTGTTGACCGTGGAGGCTGTCAAGTTGGAGCCTCCATCAGCCTGCGTTCTTTCTCTTACATGGGAAGAAACTCCCTGCTAGCCTGGTGTGGACATATAACGTTAAAGGAAATAAACTTCCATTATTTTAAGCCTCTGAGATTTTGAGGTTATTTATTATTGCAGCATAACTTTGCCTAGTTTTTAAAATTTATTTTTATTATAGTTGACATACAATATTATATTAGTTTCTAGTGTACAACATAGAACTTTGAAGGTAGAGTGGTGAAGGATTAATTATAGTGGATCCAAGAAGCATAATAGGAAAGGAAATAGACAGCAAGGGTCTTGGCTGTAAAGAAGAACAAAGAAATAGCTGAAGGTGGTTATTGTTGATTTTATGATGGGCTGTTCAGGATAATAAATAGTTTGACTAAGTTAGAAGGAAATTCTCTTGATGGAATATTTGAGGAGTAATCTTGAGTGGAGGAGAAAGGAGTGCGAAAGTGGAGAGTTGGCCTTCGATCGGAAGGAGCAGGGGCACTTTACTCATTGCAAGAGCAGGGTAGCCCAGATGGAGGTTCAGGGCATGAAGACTGGTAGGTGGGCTGATTTACCGTATTCTCATTTCCCCCTGCTATCTCAGTTAAAGAAGAAGCTGAGTTAGCAACTAAAAGAGGGGGGGAAAGAGATGTGGAAGGTTTCAAGACAGAGGAGAAGGAGTGAAATAACTATGAAACTTGGTGAATCCTGTGGGTATAGCATCAAAGGCCCACTGATACAAATAGCCTTGAATTTCAAACCAGGCCACAGCGCAGGTGAGTGTTTTTCTTTAGGCATATTCAGCTATTAGTGTAAGCAAAGCAGCTGGTTGGGATTTTCCCAGGGAAAGAGGACAGGGAGAGCGCTGTCAGAGGAGTGAGGATGAATGCAAAGGAGTCGAAGCCAGAGAAGGAGTGAAGTGAATACACGATGGGCTGAGGGGTCCTGAACATGTAGAAGAGTCAATGGGTGAACAGCTCTTCTAGTCAAAATGCTAGGAGGCGTGACCTGAAAACGAAAAGAGAAGAGTTTGAATCTGAGCTATGGAAGAGGTGTAGTAAGATTGGGAGGATGGATAAGAGAAGACATCAAAGACCTGAGCGGTCAAGGAGTTAGAAGTACCATCTGTGAGAATGTGGAAATCCCAAAGAAATACAAGAGGAGGAGTAATAGACTCAGCAAGTCAGATGCTGGAATCTGGGAGTGAAGATGTGGAAGTCAAAAGAAAACAGCAAGGAAGGGCAAAGCTTACATAGCCTGATGGTGTGAACTTCAAGACATCAAGTGTTTTCAGGGAGAGGAGAGGATGGCAGTTTGGCAGGGGTAACCAAGAACAGGAAAAGTGCTTCGTCTCCACACTTAGTGGCTTGAGGGTGAGAAAGCAGTATCTTTGGAGGATTTCAGTTCTAATAGAAAAAAACGGCAAAAGGAAAGTTCACTGAAGAGGATGAAATAGAGACAATTTTGCTGAAGATGGACGAAGAGATCCAGGGGTCACAACTGAAGGATATACCAGAATTGGGGAGTGGGTGACATATGAAGTTACCCCTAATTACTGAACCCAAGAAGGATGGGTCTCCATGATGGGGATGACCTGGGGGTCTTGGGCTTCTCCTGAGACTGAGGTTACCAGGGATGAGGGTCTAATGGGAATAGTGCCCAGTGTCTTAGGCAGATTTGGGGGGGGAGAGAAACAGGGACTCACCGGAAAGGTAACTGACCTAGAGGGGACTTAACAGGAATATGAAGAACTCGCCGAGTCTCTTCTTCAGTTGTGCAAATTGTGGTGTTGAGGCCCCCGGAGGCCTGTAGAACTGCAGTGGGTCCCCCTAGAAAGAAATCTGGGAAGTGAAAGGAAAGGAGAGGAGAGGGTTGATTACAGTGACATTTCAGCAATACAGAAATAGAAAAGTAGCTGGATTCCAGAGCGGTATAGAAAGACATGTCTCTTCCCTTAAACAAAGCATAACCTTGGTAGTCTAGCATACTGGTTAAGAATGTGAACCTTGGGGACAAACTACCTGAATTCACATAAAATCCCTGACACTAAAAGCTGTCTGACTTTGGGTAAGTTTCTTGATCTGTTTGTGCTCACTCTATTTCTCTGTTAAATGAAAATTATAATAATAGCATTTACTTCACGGGGATAAATGAGTTAATATTTGAAGGTTAATATTTGCAAAGTCCTGACACATGGCACAAAATAACCACTATATAATGTTTGCTTCTGTTGTTATTTTTTATCTAAAGCACTTAGAACTGTCAGGCACAAAGTAAGCACTATGTAATTGTTTGCCATTGTAATCAACTGAGAGAAGTAACTGAAAGTATACAGAGGGCATGCGTTTTCAAGATAGGAAGGTAGAGTGAGGGATGAAGTCCGTGATCATGAAATCCATACGAAAGAGCTAGAGAGGAAATCAGGTTTGGATTTATTAGAATGAATCTGGGCTAATCTGTACGTTAAGCAGAAAGAACGTAAATGAATGGCATGAACAGAGTGAATGCGCCCCGTATTAGGGAAGACATCACACAGGAAGCAAGTGTGAAGTGAGATTTGGGGGAAGGTAGGGGCATGAAGAAAGAGAAAAAGAATAATAAATCCTCCAGTGATTGTGACCCTCTGCTGGTAAAGCTCTCAGGATTTTTTGAGCTTGATAGGATAATTCTGGATAGGTTTGAGTCTCCTGTTTTAGGAAGCAATTTAACTTTGTTGTTTGTTTGTTTTTGCTTACGTATCAAGTTTCAGTCCTTTAAAATTTTGTTTTTGGGAAAACATGTAACCAGTATACAAGTACTTAGCATTATATTTATCTTTAAGAAAGATATTTAATGATTTTGCACATTTCCTTGTAGAAGCTTCCTTACACATGTCTTACTTTTTATGGTAACATTTTACTTCTTTTGGTTTGCAAAGTTTATCATGACTTTTTTATGATTGGAAAGATTCACAGTTTCTATAAAAGTCAATTAAAAATATTTTTAAAAAAGGATGTCATTTAAATAGAACACAAATCCATATGTTCAAATGTTAAATAGGAGATGACAATTTCAGAAATATTAACATTACATTTTTTTATTAATCATGCAAAGTTAAATAATCTCCTTTATGTAGGAGTGGATAGGCAAATTCAGTAAATTCTGGTAATTTCCCTAAATCTGGTAATTTCCTTTACTCTGCCAGCTCAGCCTTCTTTTGCTGTGTTGGTAGGAGAAAGAACTCTTCCCATCTTTCAAAGGAGAAAAATACCCCTTTATCTTATCAGTTACTCCTAGATATGGAAGAGATTGAAATATGATTTTAAACCTGCATAGGGCTTACCCTGGCCTGCACAGAACTGGACAGGAGTGCAGTTTCTACATGCTATACCCATGGCAGAAATTGCTAATCCAACTTGTCTCTGTTTCTTCCTTATTCTGGCTATAGTTTAAGAATCCATTTCATCACAGTCCTGAAGGTACCAGCTACTAATCCATAGTAATTACTGCCCACTATATATTAATATGTCAGGTACGGGGCAAAGCATGGTACATATATTACTTTAATTATTGTAACAGCCTTGTGAGGTTTTACAAACGAGGACACTGATGATCAAAGAAGTTAAGAAACTTGCTCAAGATCCTAACAGCTGAAAAGCTGGAGAACCAAGATTCACATACAATTCTGCCCCTCCCCTTCCGATCTCTCACGTAACCATTATATTTTAATTTTTGGAACTAATGATGAAATGTCATTGCCATCCCTGTAAGATATTTGGCAACTAATTTACTTTCAAGATCACCAGGATAAATGAAAAGAAAAAAAAAAGTGAAAGATTATCTACATGGAATATTTTGCAGAAAGGTGAACCAAAAGGGCAAAAGAGACACAGAAGAATGTCAGGCAACAAAGAAGAGAGTCAAGGAGTTCTCGAAGAAGGTAATGAAGTCATCCTAAGACATAAATAATTAAAAGATAAGCAGCAACAAAAAAGTACATAAGATAGGACAATTGTGTTAACATTTATAGCAAATTTGAATGTAGGAAGCTGTTAAATTTCTCCAAAAAGAAACTTAGTGCTTAGAAAAGGCATAACCACCTGAAAATGCAGGCCTATAATGAAAATCTGTCAACTGTAATTGCTATATCGTTGTTATGGTGGCAGTATAATTATAGTATATGTGCAAGTGGTCTGGATAAAAACAATTGGGACAATCAAAATATTTATACCGTTCCATAAAGAAACAGGTGTAGCATTGCAGTAGGCGATTTTGAATTGCCTATTATTATGGCCTTTGATTTTGGCTCTGTTTATAATAAAAAAGGGAAGATTACCAACCCTAAATTTAGTTTATTTATGAAAACACATCACATCTTTTATGACTTTGAGTAAGGAAACATAACTTTCTTAGAATGTTTGCATTAAAATTTGTCATGCACTTTATTCTTTTGTCTAGCTCTGGCTAAAGATGCCACATCTTCATTAACGGATGCTGTAAAGCAAGTTGCAAAGCAGCAGCAGTCACAAACATCAGAAATAGAGAAAAACAAAAAATTTCTGTTTCATTTGCAGGTAACCTGTCTTCTACTATCTTCTAAATGCATCTTTATTTTTTATAATAACTGTATTAAATTAGTAACAGGGAAGTTATTAAGGCTACTTAATTTGGGGAGGCAGTTTTAAGCTCATGTTTCTTTGTATTTACCTCTTTCTTATTCTATTATCCGTGAGTGAAATCTATATGAGTATGCCAGTTTCACGGAACATTTTATACACCCATTATACAAAGATTCAACAATGTCTTGCAACTGTAATACAAGCAAATAAAACCCAATGTGTCACATAGAATTATTTTAAATTCACTTTTATTTTTCCTAAAATGCTGAATTGAAGGAAAGTTGAGTTTGTAAGCCAGTGTTTTGAAAGCTATGGCTTGTGAGTTACTAGTTGTTGGTTAACATTTAAAGTAGATAAGGAACATTGCTGTATTCTTTATATTTCCTAATATATTTATAATTCCATTACATGGAATCTGGAAGCCAGACTTGGTTTTTGCATACAAAATAATTAACTATAACTATACTCTATTAACATAGCTAAAAAAACCCCACCAAAATGGAGACAGTATCTTTACCTTTGTACAGGTTTTTTGTTTGTTTGTTTGTTTGTTTTTAATATAGAAATGAAAATAATAGGTTTTAGAGCTGAATTGCCTAGTTTGGAAGACAAGATTTGCTACTTCCAACTCTGTGATTTAATTTCTCTGTATTTCTGTTTTCTCCTTTGTAAAATGGAGATAATAATAGGACCTGCCTATAAGATATTCATGATGATTAAATGAGTTAATACTTGTAAATATTATGTATGGTATCCTTGCTAGGACCAGATATTGATATTGGCTTTAGGTATTAATGCCTCGGCAGAAATATAATAATAATTATACTATCATGGTAATATGGATTTCTTGTAAATATTTGCATTGCATTAGCTACTGTTAGAAAAGAATACACATTTACAATAGAACCTAATACAAAAATAATAATGTCTTAGATTTCTATGAAGACGTTTTCTGTAACATTTCTCAGTCTTCAAAGTGTTTCACAGATGTTGCCTCAGTTACATTGAGGGCCTACTTTCCATTAAGCATTTTGCTCAACATTGTCCTCTTTCTTAAGTTTCTCACCATCTATTAAAGAGGGAGCAAAAAAATAAACAAATAATTACATACAGGGCAGCAGTATCAGGAATAGAGGCATAAACGCCAATTTAACACTGAAGAAGGAGTGACCCCAAGGAAAGTGATGATTCAGTTGAGTGGTAAAGGACAGTTGGGAGTTCACCTGAGTCATTAGGTGTCTGGGGCAGGTTTAAGGGTTAGGGGGTGAGGAGGAGGATGTGCAGGTCAAGAAGAACCCGAGTAAATTGCAGAGGACTGAAAGCGCACTAGTACATTCATAGACCTAAAAGTTAGCTGGTGGTATAGCATAGAGTGTTTTGAGAAGTGGGAGGCAAACAATAAACAAAATAAAGAAATCAGGGCCCGCCGAGTGGCTCAGTTGGTTAAGAGCATGAGCTCTGAGCAACAGGATCGCTGGTTCGATTCCCACATGGGCCAGTGAACGGCACCCGAGCTGAGCTGCCAACAGGTGGCAGGATGGCTCAGCTAGTGAGAGCACATGCTCCTAACAACAAGGTTGCTGGTTTGACTTCTGCCTGGGATGGTGGGCTACGCAACTAAAATTGAGCACAGCATCTTGAGCTGAGCAGCCACGAGCTGCCGCCAGGTGGCCAGATGGCGACTGGACTTGGAGCTGAGCTAGCTGTGCCCTCCACAACTGAGACTGAAGGACAACAACTTGGCTGTTCCCCTTCCCCAATTCCCAACACTGTTCTCCTCCCGCAATTCCCCAATAAAATAAAAAAAAAAAAAGAATTCAACCAAAAGAAGGTAATTCCATTGATTGATGTATTAAAAAAGAAATACAAGATAATGTATGGAGAGTAACTGGGGGAGGCAGGTGGGTGGTTAACTTATATTTTGATTCAGGAAGACTGTTCTGAGGAGTAATAATAAAGCTGAATTGTGAAAGACAAAGACCCTACCAGGTAATAGTTAGGGGTAGAGAATTCTACAGCCGAACAATTACAAATGCCCTTAGGTGGGAGGGAACTGGACATATTTAATAAACAGAAAGGAGGCAGGAAGGTGGAGAGAATAGTATATGAGAAAGATGGAACAGTAGACAGGGATGAGAGCCTATGTGGCCTTGTAAGCCACATTAGGAATTTGAACTTTAATTTTAATGCAACGGGTAACCATTGGAGAGTTTTGAGCAGGGAAGTAACATGACAAGATTTATATTTTTAAAAGATTCTTCTGCCTATTATATGGAGCCTGGCTGAGGTACAGGAGGAAGAACTGAAAGAGGAAGAACAGTTAGAAGCTAGAGCATGCTACAAAAAGTGGTCAGAAGTGTAGCTGGGATTTTATTTTGGAGGCCCGACCATGAAGATGTGCTGTAAATAGGTTGTTGGGGGTAAGGGAAAGGGAAGAATCGAGAATGGCCTCTAGGTTTCTGAGCATCCAGGTGGAAAGCGATGCAGTTTATTGACTTCAGGAAGACTTGGGGAGGAACATGTTGAGTGTGTAAATTAAATGTTCTTTTCTGAACATGTATAGTTGATATGTTTATTAGATATAGAAATACAAATGTCAAGTGGACATCTGAAATATCAGGAGTGGAGATAAAGACAGATTCATCAGCATGTTGTCAGCATTTTTCAGTGTGCTTCCCTCGCTGGTCTCTGCCAGGAGTAGGATAGACTGGGTCTGCCTTTTTAGTGCGGTGCCTGTCTCCCAAAATTACAAATTTGCTCAAAGAAGATGGCTGTACTAGATAGAAAAGAAAGATGGAGGAGGGCCTGTTTTGGTGGTAGGTAGACATCTGAGTGGATAATAAGGAGAACGGAGGAAATGGGAGGCTCGCCGAGGAGCACCATTAGTTCATTTGTTTGTGAAAATGGGGGTGTGGTGGCTTGCACTGTGGTCCCAATTCTTCATTCTTGTGTCTGTCTATGCCCTTTGCCATTTATCATTGCAATGTCTGCCCACACTGGGTGGGCGTACATCTACCCCTGGACTCTGAGTTTCATCTTGTGACCAACTGCTGACGTTATGAGAACAGAAGCTGAACAAAGCTCTTCCATAACTGGGCTTCCTTTCTTCTGTACCTGCTATCATCATGAAAAGGAGTGCCTGGCCTGGCCCACCGGAGGGTGAGCTACACGAGAAGCAAAGCCACAGCACCCCAGCTGGCTAGTCAGCCCGATGAGATCATCTGACAGCAGCCAACTCCACACATGTGAGCCAATCAGTCAAGGCCAACATCTAGCCAGTCATGTGAGAAACAAACACGTATTTTTGTATGTCACTGAGGTTTTGCGGTTCTGACAATTCATAATCGATACAAGGAAGAACAGGATGGGCTGGAGGGAGGATTAATCTGATTTTTGGGCATGATGAATGTGAGATGGCTAGTGGCCGCTGGGTATAGGACTCAACAGCCATTAATGTTCTGTGAATCATCAGCATATATGTAGCTCAAGATGTAAGTATGGAGAAGGTTCCCCAAGGAGTATATATAGAATGAGAGGAGGAAATTATGGTGACTGCACCCTGATGAAGACCTGCATTTGAAGGAACCATTGCGACTGAGAAGGAATGCTCAGAGATAGCTGGGAAAACCAGGAAAGAGTGGTGGTGTGAAACGGGGGTTTCAAAAAGGAGGTGCTTGATAGAGCTGCCAAATACCCAAGAGGTAAGGCAGACATCTTCATAATCATTTTACAAATGAAGAAACAGGTTTGGATAGGGTGAATAGGTTTGCTGTGATTATATCAACCAATAAAGAGCAGTAAGGGCAATAGTACCTAGGCCTTTTGATTTATTTTTAACCCAGGGCTTTATTGTTTTTATCATATTGTCTTTCTTCAGTGTGTACTTCTGATGTCCATAAATATATTATTAAAATGATTGCAAAGTATTTTTTACATATAAAATGTTAAGACAAATGATAAAATTTTAATATTTAGAGTTACATGAACATTAAAAAGTAAGAAATATACCAGGGGTACCCAAAAAATGTATACAGGTGGACACTTTGGTCAACGTTTCTCAAGCAGTAGTTCATAATCAGAAGTGTCTGGACGCTGATGGTAACCATTTTGAGCAACTCTTATAATTGCAGAAGTCAAACGTGACTTGTATCATCTTTTGTTATCAGTACATATTGAATATTACAATTTTAATACCGTTTCCTTTCTTAAAATGTGTATACATTTTTTTGGCATGCTCTGTATAATTCTGGATTCCCACTGAGTTTATAACATAATCTTGTTACATTATTGCATGTTTCCTTTTATTATACATCAATTTTTCTATATCTGATAAATATATTTTTTTATGTTGTGATTTTCCTATATGCGCTATGGATCGAAAAAATGCCTTTCATGTTGAATATCATGAATTAATAACAACGTTGAAATATTTTACAGAATGAACTTCATGAACTGGAAAAACAAAGAGCATCTGTCTTTACAGAAACTAAAGAAACAGAAAGGCAAATTTATCAGCAAGATGTTGCCATAGAGAATAGCAAATTGCAGTGTGAAAACCTGGAAACGCAAATCAAATCCTTACATACAGAAAATGTAAAGCTTAAATTTGACATAGAAGCAACCCAAGAAGATTTTGAGGAATGCATGATAAGATATAATGAATACTATGCAAAAATAAAAGTGTATAAAGATAGTTTGGAGGCAGAAGCAAGCAAATGGTCATTTATGACGGAACTCCATGCAAAACGAGAGCTTGTTAAAAAACTGAAGACAATGAAAGAGGAACTCAGGCAAGATCTCCAAAATCCAGAAGGAAACCGGATAAAACAAGTACAGGTTTGAAACATCACTTATTAAAACTTTTTCTAGCACTTCTTTTTTTCAAGCACAGTTACTATAAGTGACAAGTTTATCACTAACTTAATAAAATACCCACGGCTGCTCTAACTAGATTCAGAAACTATTTTCACAACTTTAAAAAACTTGGATAAATACATGAGTTATGTAAGAACTATGCCAAACATGCAAATGCATAAAGAAAATATCCCCAAGTCTCCTGGGGATTAATAAAAATACACAGTCATCCAAAATCACAGTGAGCAGTTAATCTCTTTGTTACAGAAAGTATGACTCACAAAAATGTTGAAACCCTGCTTTCTAAGCTAATGGATCCAGACCAGTCTAAGTCAATTTAGTATGCTTAATGCTGTTATACGAACAATATGAATTAATAATTGTACCCTAACATCTTTCTATTTTTACTATTCTTTGAAGACAGTGGGAGGTACAAACTTAAAATACCTATCATTTCTTGCTAGAGAATTAAACAGCATCCTTGACCCTCTCGCTGGGCAGTTGCCACTATAACTACTACTATCCTTTATGTCTTCTTTTCATTTGGATTTTAATTCTAAATTTTCAAATCTAAGATTTGTTTGTTTATTTGTTTGGATAATTGTTTTTTATTATTTGTGTCATAGAAGTAATATTTTAATCCTGTTTATCAAAATTAAATATGACTAGTTTTCTTAAGTTATAGAAACACTGAAAATCTTGGATTTATAATGATTATTCATTGTTTGACTTGTATATTTTAAATTTTATAAACATACAGGAAGATATTTCAAAGCTAAAGAATAATATTATAACTATAAAAGAGTCTATCATTGAAAAAGCTTGTTTTCTGGAGGAAGAAAAAAAAACACATGAAAAATTAAGAAGAGAAATAGAGGTAAGTCTTATTTGGATTTCAATTTTTATGGGACCGTTTCTTACATTTGTATGATACTCATAATTTCCACAGTTTACTCTCAATTCCTCAAACAGCTAGAGAGAGAGAAAAAAAAGAACTGTAAAAGGCATTAGATAAATCCAAATAATGAATAGATAGTTAGAGATACCTCTTTCCCCCCTCCCCATTAAAAAATATTCAAATATGAATGTGTTCAGACAAAGCAAGCACTTACTTGTTTTTAAACCCAGCCTAGAATTCTTCCAGGTCTCATTCCACCAACAACCTGGTACCCATTAATGGCTAGCAAGCAGATGAACATTCCTTGATAGACATCTGACTCCTCAAAATGGAGTAAAAGACAATGAAGTCATTGGTATTCTAAACCCCTCTAACTTCATGTTTGCAATTATTGAGTCCAATTAGAAAAACACTGATATGGAAAATTGAAAGTATGACTAAATTTGGGGTACCACTGGTAGGTAGACTTCTATAGTCACTTTTTAGTTGAAAACAACGAAAGAAAATGTCAAACAAGCTAGCAGAACATTGGGTAAATGGTATGAAGATTCTTTTTTTAAAACATGAATATCCAAAAAACAATGGGAAAAAAATGACTAATAAAGAACTGATAATTAAAACCACAGTGAGATCCCATATTTATCCCATCAGCTTATCAATATTACAAGTGTTAAGATATGGAACACCTGAGTTCTGATATGCTATTGATGTGAATGTAAATTGGTAAAAGCATTTTGGAAAGGAATTTGAGATTACCTAATAATTTTTTATGCTAATATACTTTATTGAGGTATAATTGTCATAAGAGTAAGTACACAAATTGTAAGGATTTAGCTTGATTAACTCTGACTAATGTATATGTACACCCATGTTACCATCACCTAGTCCTAGACCAACATATAAAACTTTCCCATTAAGACCAGAACGTTCTCTTGTGCCACTTTCCTCAGGCTACCACTATTCTGATTTTTAAAAACAGGTTTATTATATAATCTACATGCCATACAATTCACCCACTTAAAGTGTATAATTTAATTGTCTAAGTATATGCACAGATAATTTGTAACCATCGCCCAGTCAATTTTAGAAATGTTTCATCACCTCAAAAAGAAACCCCATACCCTTTAGCTAGGACCTCTTCATTTGTCTATTGTATTTACCCATGTTTTTACTCTACCACATTCTTTTCTTTATTCCTGCTTTTCTAAGATTCCTTCTTTTATCATTTCCTTTCTCCTTAGAAAACTCCTAGATTCATTCTTTTAAGATAGGTCTGCTGGTGACAAAGTCTTGTAAGTGCTTTACATCTGAGAATGTCTTGATTTCCTCTTCATTCCAGAAGGATATTTTTGCTGTGTATAGAATTCTGGGTTGACAGTTCTTTCAACGGTTGAAAAATCTGGTGCCTCTTCTTTCTGGCCTCCATGATTTCTAATGAGAAGTCCTCTGTCACTCAAATTGTTTTTCTTCCTATAGATAAGACATTTGTTTCCCGCAGCTTTCAAGATTTCTGCTGTCTTTCGTTTTCAGAAGTTTTAATGTGATGTGTTTTGGCATGATTTTCTTTAGATTTATCCTATTTGGAACAGTTTCAGATGCTTGATTCTGTAGGTTTATGTCTTTTGCCAAATTTGGGGAAATTTAGCTTTTATTTACATCAATACTTTTTCAGCTCTGCCCTATTTCTTTTCTCCTTCCTGGAATCTGATGATACAAATGCTAGGTCTTTTTTGTTTTTGTCCCACAGGTCCCTGAGGCTCGCTCCATTCATTTTTTTGTCAGTCTCTTTTCTCTCTATTGTTCTAATTAATTTCTAGTGTTCTATCTTCCATTCACGGATTCTTTTCATTTCCCCTAGTTTCTGCTATTGAACCTGGTTCTTGGCTTGATGAGTGACTGTCTATTGAAATCTGGACATGTTGGGTATTATTTTTCAGACTCTTGATTATTGTTACTTCTGGGTGGTTGTGAAAATTCAGATTTCCTAGTTAGTCTCCATGGACACTCATGGAAGGAAGAAGGACTTCTTGTTATTCCTGGCCAGGAGTGGGAGTTCTGGCTGCTCATAACCCTCTGGCTGGGAGGGGCAGGGACTTCTGGTTACTACTGTCCCCCATGAGGCTGCCACCATGTGGATGTGGAAGGATGCCTTGTTACCACTAGATGGGGGTAGAAGTCCAGCCTCCCCAAATGGGCTCCACTGACACAACAGTGTGTGTTTGCTTCTGCTCAGTAAGGTGAGAATTCCTGGCTCCCCAATTAGCCTTCTCTGACACCACCCGCACGGGGGAACTGGGGCACTTTAGTATAGCCTGGCAATGGTGGAAGTTAGACTTTTCACTCTTCCTTAGCTGGTTTGGATGGTGGTGGAGCCATAGTTTTCTTCTGTAGTGTTTGACTTTAGGAGAGTAGTTACTGTCTGAAAGTTTTCCCTTTTGCTAGGCTGGCCTTTTCCTGGTTCTTTGGTTAGAGAGAGCAGGCTTTGTTTGGAGCTTCTTTTATCTGCACCTATTGGCATTTCTGGGTGCTGTCTTCTCCAGTATCCACTCTGGGGTACATGAGGCAAAGTGGAAACCCAGGGAACTCAGCACCATGCCATTCCTTGAGTCCTGAGGCCCCAGGACAGCTTGCCTTCTTTGCTCCACTTTTCAGAAGCTTCGTATGTTTGCTTTATATATAATGTCCAGGGGTTTTAGTTGCACTTAGCACAAGGAATAGGTGTATAATGTATATCTACTTCATCTTGTCAGAAGCAGAGGTATAAATGGGTATTTTAATGGTAAATGGTGATATAAATGGCCACTGATGTTAGATTTAGATGGAATGTCCCTGAGCTTGAGACTTCATTTTTTAATGTTATCATCATTAAACTTCTTGCCTTGAAATTTAATTAACTGCTTTTAAGCTTTCATAATAGGGGTACCTCTGTTAAGATTCTTTTGGCTTTTTAATTCTATTTTTATTACCTTTAATACATTTAAAAGTAGTCCTCAGTTCTATCACAATATGATGGTTGAAAAATGAAAATCTAAGACATTATGGATTATCTATAACAAATTATAAAACTGAAGGACACATATAGCCACACCATTGTCTTGAGAACATTGCAGTTTCTCAGCAATTTCTCTTATTGCTTGACAAGAATTGATCACTGATGTGAATAACCTTTTTCTTAAAACCACAATAAGACACCATTTCACAGGCAATAGAATGGTGAGAGTTACAACAAATGATAATACCAAATGTTGCCAAGGGTGTGGAGCAACTGGAAAATTCTTGCATTTCTGTTGAGATTATAAAATGGTGCCACTGCTTTGAAAAATGGTTTGGCAGTTTCTTAAAAAGTTAGCATACACCTATCCTATGTCTCAGCAATTCCCTCGCTAGGTGTTTACTCAACAAAAATGAAAACATATGTCTTTGAAAAAACTGGCATGTGAAAGCTGAAAGAAGCTTTATTCATAATAGCTCCAAGATAGAAAAATCACAAATGTCCCTCAAAAGCAGAATGGATAAGCAAATTGGGGTATATTCATATAATATACCACATACTAACAAACAACAACATGGGTGTATAAATTTGTCAAAACTCATTGAACTGCACACTTAAAAATCTGTATATTTATACTTCCATAAAAATATGTAACCGTACTTTTTAGAGTAAAGGGCTGAAGCAAAGAGAAGTTGCGTGACATGTTCAAGTGGCAGCAAATGAGTTCCAGGTCTTTTCAGTGCAGTATATTCTCCGTGGTAAAACAGCGACATCATGGGAGTGTCTGCTACATATGTGGAGAAACTGAGAACAATACAGAATTTAGCAATATATTTTACATGACGTTCTTCTCAAAATAGGGTAGCAGCTGTTTGATTTACAAAAACTGCCTCGATTTATTTATGTATGTATTCATGATTTTATTCAACCCATTTATTGAGTTCACACTATGTGCCAGTTACGCTTTTAGGCTCTGACAGTAGAGTGGTGAACAAAATAAATGCATGAAAATCCCTGTGCTCTTGGGACTTGCATTCTAGGTGGAGAGACAGACATAAACAAGACCTTTAAGTAAGACATATAGCACTAGCTGTGGCTTGGGGTCTAGAGTTTCATTAGGGGACCTGGCACATCTCTATTCTGATCTGTTGTGTAGTCATTTCATAGCTTAACTATTAAAGAATAATTTCAGAAGCAGGCTAATATGCAACCAACCAAATTTGTTGATTAACCAAAAATTTGTTCCAGTTTTATTTCTATTAATGTATTTCATGAACACAGTTCTATGAACATGTATGCAGTGACTATATTCTCCTTATGAATATATTCTATTGGCTATATTAATGCATATATATTAAATATAGTGCATATATTATATGTATATGTATACATGTACATATACATATCAATGGATATATATATCCTCTTAAACATATTTAATGTATAAAAAATCTTTTGAATAGAGCTTCATCATTTAGTATAATGTTTCAGTTTATTCCATATTTATTTCTAATCCTTTTAAAGTCATTTTCTATTTTGGCAGCATATCAGCCAGCCTAGTTCACCAATTTGAATGAATTATCTGAATTTGCAGAATTACCAAAAACCAAAAACTTAAAAAGATGTATAAAGTTTATGGCAATTTATGTGAAGTGTGAGTTGACAAGCTTTCACTTTGTTTTTATCACCGTGTTTTGGAATGCTTGATGTGTTTCAGTCCCAGTTCCCCTGCTCTGCTGCGGAACTGTGTTTCAATGTAATTGGTTTCCTTTGTCATCCTGTGTGTTTTATTTTAAGCATTTAAAAACATTATTCTAAGAAATCCATAGTCTTCACCATACTGTCAAAATGACCCAAGTGCACTTGAAACCTATGTAATTTTACGAACCATTGTCACCCCAATAAATTTAATAAAAAAAAACCTGAGGAGACATTTACAAAAAGATAAAATTCCACAATAAAGTGGAATGTATTATTTAAAAAATGATCCATGGCATAGTAAAGGTAAAGACACCCTGAGCTAAGGGAGGAGCTGGGAAAGAGAGAGGGATTTTTGCTGGGGGAAAAACAGATAAAAAAAAAAAAAGAGTAATCGGCACACAGTGTATCCCCTTCAGCATGTAGCACCATCTGGGTGCCAGTAAGCACAGCTGACGGGAGCAAGAAGCGGGGACAGGTCGGGCAGAGTCCTAAGGCTCCGGAAGTCCGAGCCTTGTCTCCTGACATCCCTCTTAGGCTACAAACTTTTTTTGGCATATCAGTTATTTTGATAAATTTGGTGAATTGGTGTTTTGACAAATAGATCTTCATTTGAATTGACTGAGAAAAGCCTCCTGACTTTTCAGGGCACTCCCTCAGTAGATACAGGAATGAAAAGGTAACTTCCCCAACGCTATTGCTCCATCCGTTCATTTAAAAGGGGGTGTTTTGCTACGATGAAATGTCACTTCACACCCACTATGGTGGCTATGATAAAAAAAAAAAGACATAATAACAAGTATTTTCAAGGATGTGAAGAAACTGGAACCCTTACACATTGATCATGGAAATGTGAACATGAAGTCTGGCAGATCCTCAAGTAGTTAAACATAGAGTTACCATGTGACCCGGTAATTCCACTCCTAGATCTGTACCCCAGGGAAGTGAAAACATGTGTCCACACAAAATCTTGTACATGAATGTTCATAGCAGCATTATTCATACTAACCAAAAAGTAGAAACAGCCCAAATATTCATCAACTGATAAAATGGATGAATAAAATGTAGTTTATGGGTTGTCGGAAAAGTCATGACACAGTTTTGCAACGAAAAACATAGGAAAAATACGTCATGACTTTTCCAACAACCCAATATCATACAATAGAATAAAAGAGCGGAGCGCTGACACCTGCTAAAACATGGATGGCCCTTACACTGTGCTAAGTGAAAAAGCCAGTCACAAAAGACCACATATATACGATTCCACTTCATGAAATATCCAGAATAGGCAAATCTATATAAATACAAAGTTGTTCAGTGGTTGCCCAGCGCTCAGGGTGAGGAGGGACAGGGAGTCAGTGTAACAGGCACCAGGTCTCATTCAGGGCTCATGAGAGTGTACTAAGTTGATTGTGGCGATGGTGGCAGAACCCTGTGAATATGCTAAGAACCATTAAGTCACACACTTTAAAGACTGGATTGTATGGCATGCAAATTGTATCTTAATAAAGCTGTGCGAAAGAAGATTGGGTGTTCTTTGTGCAGCTAGCACTAATACCAGGAATTGGGACTTTTTAACTTTTTTGTGGCCTGAGGCCAAAACTCTTGCACTTTCTGCTGTGCTCATCGACTTCCAGTGTAGCATGGTCTGGCTCAGCATAAACGCTGGTCTACTTAATGTCCGGGAAATGGACCACATGATCCAGGTATTTTAGATGGATGGGTCTATGTTTCTAGGAAGCACTTGCACAGGAAATAAAACTGTGGCCCTGAACTGGTAACTGCTTGATAAGTAGAAGGCACTCCATCACGGATGTTTCGCTTGGGTTCAGATCCCAAATGCCATCACTTGCCAGCTGTGAAACTTGGCCAAATCACTTAAACTCTTTGATCTTTGGTTTCTTTATACAAAAATGGGGTAATATCCACCTCATGGGAGTTATGAAAATTTAATTATATGTAAAAAGCTCTCAGCACAGTATCAAACATGTAATAAATGTTGAATAGTTATAATTACTGTTTATATTTATTATCATTATTATTTACAGTGAATAATTTCTAATCAAGTGTTTTCCTCTTTAGAGTATTCAAAATATCCTTTAAGGCTGTATGCTGTTTATCCTTCTCAAGCCCTGTTGACATGTAATCTTCTTTTAATAGGTACAACATAAGAGATATGGTGCAATTCTTAAGCGTTTGCATTGTCAGGTGAACAAGCTTCAGTCAAATAGAAGACAGTGGCAATGGAACATTCAACAACTAGAACAAACAGCAGCTGAACTAAGAAGATGCATTGCAATGAAAGATTAACGTGTCTTTAGGGCATTGCAGAGCTCAGAGTATGCCAACAAAATTACGGGACAGAATGTTGAGAAATGCTTTGGATTCTTTCTTTTTAAATTTTACTTATTTTTATTAAAGTATAATTGACCTACAATATTATATTTGTTCCAGGTGTACAACATAGTGATGTTACATGTACATACCTTAACGATGAGCATCCACTATCAGAGGTCTGTCTTAATGACACGTATATTTTTACTTTTTTTAATAAGCCATTGTTTGTTAACGTGCCTTCCAACACTACAGCTGATGGCAGTGGATGGACAATAGGAATGCTTGCAGAAGAATTGTGGGCAACTCTCTGAATACTTTTTGTGTGTAAGATGTACTCGTGAATGCCTATTTATAAATATGTTGCCTTTACGATTATATGAAGTAAAAATTTAGAAGAAAAGAAACACTTGCATTTACAATGATTTAAACTGTTAAGATATTTAAATAGTTGTCTGTTTCAAACTTTTTATTAGAATTTGTTTTTTTTTACTACTGTCTTCACAGTAGTCCATAAATATTCACATTTACAATAATGTTGTTATATGTTCAATGTCTCAGATATTTTTCCTAGTTTTCCCTTCCATACAGAAGGTAGCAATCATTTTTCTTCGCTATTAGGTAACATTTTTAGAATGTTGCAAAGTATAAATTTTTTTGTTCATGTTTCTGTCTATAAATTCTTTAGTATTAATCTACGACTAAAATAACATCGTGTAAGGCAAGCATACAAGCTCTTAAAAGAAGTGTTAACCAGTATAGACTAAGTACTTTTTTTCATTAAAAGGCAAATGCTATGTCCATGGCAACAAATCAGAATTTAACTTGTCCCTTTTAAGATAAAAGTGCTCCTTCTCATGGCTCCATTGAATCAAATTTTAGGAGCAGAAACAGAACATTAATTATTGAGTTCATGTTTTTTTTATTTTTATTTTTAAATTATAGTTGAAATTCAATATTATATTAGTTTCAGTTGTACAAGATAGTGGTTAGACATTTATATAACTTACGAAGTGATCTCCCCAGTAAGTCTAGTACCCACCTGGCTGGCACCATACGTAGTTACTACAATATTATTGATTGTATTCCCTATACTGTACTTTACATACTTGTGACTATTTTATAACTGCCAATTTGTGCTTCTTAATCCCTTTCACCTTTTTCACCCAGCCCCCCAAACCCTTTCCCCTCTGGCAACTATCAGTTTGTTCTCTGTATCTGTGAGTCTATTCTGTTTTGTCTGTCCATTTATTTTGCTTTTTAGATTCCACATATAAGTGAAATCAAATGGTATTTGTCTTTCTCTCTCTGACTTACTTCACTTAGCATAATACCCTTAGGTTCATCCATGTTGTCGCAAATGGTAAGATTTCATTCTTTTTTTATAGCCAAATAGGAATGCATGCTTTTTAAATATTTGCTTAGCATTTAATGATCTCAAATCAATATCAAAATGATATCTCAAGTTCATTTTTTCTTACCTTTCTGTGAGCCTGAGATTCAGTAAGATTATAGCTGATAAAAATCTGATATTAATAATCTTATAATATCTAACATTAATAGTCTTATTGTGAATTAGCATAGCTTATTATGGCTAACACTTTAAATGGCTTATGCTATAACACAATCAGCTTTGGTCCATGGCTCTGAAACACAGCTATGGATAAAAACAGTTAAACCTGTGGATTGTGGAGTGAACCCACTATGCTCAGCTGAATACAAGGCTGAGCCAAACACATATTATATAAAAATATTTAAATGTAATTTTCATATTTAAAAGGCTCATCTTATATAGTTATACTTCATAATTTCATTTACAGCTCATAAAAGAAAATTTCTAGCTTTTAAAATTTTTAAGTTTATAATCAGTTTTAAAATATTTGTACAAAATATTTAACACCTTGAGCTATATTTTTGAAAGTTTATTATAAAGTGAGCTGTGAAGAAAATGAGTTTAATCTGTTTAACATAATGTTTCCTACTTGAGAAAGTAATTTTCAGTAGTTTTCTAAAATATCAATGGTAGTAATATATGTACCTATTTTAAATTTTGTGACAATTTAAAGAATTATTTGAAAGAGAAAACTTTTCCCTTGCTCTTGAAAACCATTTCAGATGATGGAGGCTTTCAGATTAATCAAGAAGAACTAAAATTTGAGGTATGTTCAAGCCTGATCATATAGTTAGTGGATATGATATTTTAACATGGTCACAAGCTCTAAAGTTAGAAAATTAAAGTAATTTTAAAAATGTATAACTGAATCTAGCTTAGAATATGAGCTCTTCTGCATAATGGCCTTTCTAATATATGCTTTCAGTTTAAAATCTCTTTTGGGTAACCACTCAATTCAAAATTTCCCTCCTTCTCATTTTTTTCTTGGAAGTAGTCTAAGTTCCTGGCGGATTTACATGTGTTGTCATCGGGGAAAGTGGTCCACGTGCTGCTCTCTAACTTCACTGGCCTCTGCAGGTGTAACCCATTCTTCTTTACCCTGAGCCGTATCTTTTGTCCATGCTGCACTTGCTGCTGTTTTCTCCAGCCAGTGCGCTCAGCTTCCTTGTTCAGCTGCAAGGCCTCTCCTGGTCCTGTTTAATTCTCTCTTTCTGTAAACTGGCCAAAATTTCCCTCTTGGGGGCTTGTTATTTTATTCATGTATTCTTCCCCACTTTTTGACTTCTGGTATAAAATGAGTCTTTCAAGGCTCTTAGTGCTTTGTGGCTCAGCAAATTTTTCTCTTTAATAATGCCCAGTCTTCTGCAAAGAAAAGCTATGATTTCCAGAAAATTGTTTCTACTATGGGTTTTTTTTTTAAAGCCTAATATGAAGCTCAAAGCTGATGAATGACTTTTTACTTCTCAGCAGTACTGGTCCTGACCCTAGCCTGCTAGGTTCTATTATCTATATGGTCAGGAAAAGGTAACTAGTGCAAGGCAGCAGAGCAGGGGGGAATCCCACAATCAATCGATCAAAATAATACTTATGACATGTGCAATCTATTGGCAAATTATAGTTGACCAATGCAAAGAAATTGATATCCACTTTTAAGCCATATCTGAACCGTGTAAAACACAGGAGAGTACACAGTAAAGCCAGTCAAGTCAGCCACCGTGGTCACGGCCGATATAAGCGGCCTATATGTTATCTGTTAGGTCACGTTCTTCCAATCAATTAATCATACTGTTTTTCAAAACACTACAGACATGGAATAACCCTAATAACAATAATATACTAAGCAACTAATCTGTGCAATTTGTATATGTTACACTATTTAGCAATTTGTATATATTATTCATTTAATTGTAAGAATAATGGTTTAAGGTATATATTATTACCCCTATTTACAAATGGGGAAACTGAGGCTTAGACAAGTTAACTAACTTGCGTAAGATCTCATCACAAAGCTCATCAGGCAGAATGGAAAGCCAAAACTCTTAATTCTTTACTTATACTGCAAGAAATGATTCCAAGGGGTTGCCTTAATTTTGCTATAAATAATTAATAATTTATTGCTATATTCCATCAATTATTTTAATAGATTGCAAGGCATAAAATTAATTTAACCAACAAGAGAAATTCTGTTTAAAAAATGAAACAAAATGAAGGATTTTGCATGTAAGGAGCTTGGAAGTCCTAACAATAAGTGAAAAGTTGAACAGGATGAGAATTAACAATTTTTCCTGGATCCCTAAGAGAGGTGAGGACACAGGGAAAACTGATGTCCCCAAGACTGGAGAGACGGGTGAATACAGCGAGTCACCACTGACCAGAGCAGAGAATAACAAGTAGAAACCACATGGGAACCAATGCCAGGATAGGAAAGCCCGAACTGTAATTGGTGAGTTTCTGGAGGTACAGTGTGGACAACGCTGAGAGTTAAAACAATATTGTGAGATTTATCTTCAGATGAGAATTGCATAGAAGTCTCCTCAGAAACCATACAAGCAAGAAGAGAGTGAAATATTTAAAGTGTTGAGGGAGAAAAACAAACACCAACCTAGAATTCTGTACCCTATGAAATTATTCTTTAAAAGTGAAGGAGACTAAAGATTTTCTCAGACAAATTGAGAGAATGTGTTGCCTGCCTTGCAAGAAATTAAAAGAATTTATTTAGAGAGAAAGAAAATAATAGAGATTAGAAACTTGGGCCTATATAAAGTAAGAAAGAACAAAGAAGAAGGAATAAGTGAAGATCAAATAAAAAATTTTCTTATTAATTGATCTAACAGATGACACTTTTTTCAAAATAAAGATAGCAATGCTATATTTGATTATGTATACTTATGAATATATCTGATGTATATATACATGTGCTATGTATGCTTATATATAAGTAAAATGAATGATAGCAATAATACAAAGGACAGAAGGAAGGAATTAGAATTATTTTGTTATTAGAAAGTACACTACCTGAAAGTGGACTTGGATTAGTTGTAAATGTATATTTTAAACTCCAAAGCAACCACTAAAAAAAAATTAAAAAGAAGTATAACTGAGTTTCCAAAAAGAGAAAAATGGAGTAATATAAAATGCTTGATTAAAACCACAAAAGGCAGAAAAAGAGAGGAAGACAAAACGAGGAACAAAGCACAAGGACAACAAATTGAAAATAGTGACAAATATGGTAAATGTTAATCTAACTATATCAATAATCACTTTGAATGTCAATGGTCTCAATGCATCAATCAAAAACAGACTGTGACATTGGATTAAAAACATAACTCAATTATATATTGTCTACAAAAACCCACTCTAAATGTAGAGGCACACATAGATTAAAAGTAAATGGATAGAGAAAATATATCATGATAACACTAATCAAAAGAAAGTGGGAGTAGCTATGTTAATTTCAGATAGAGCAAAAAAGTAAGGAAAGTTATCAGAGATAAAGACATTACATAATGATAAATCCAATTGGAGAAAATTCTTAATTCTCTAAGAAACTTAAGAATTCTTAACATATATACACCTAACAACAGAGAGTCCATTATGTGAGGCAAAAACTGAACTGCTAAGGAGAAGCAGATGAGTCCACTTTTATAGTTGCAGATTTCAACATCACTTAACCAGAAATGGATGTATCCAGCAGGCAGAAAATCAGTAAGAACATAGTTGAACTTAACAACAGGTTCAATCAACTGGATACAGTTGACATCTATAGACTACATCATCTAACAACAGAACAATACACATTTTTCTCAAGCTCACATGAGACATTCACCAAAATAGATGACCTTCTGGGCCATAAAATACACCTTAACGAATTTAAAAGAATATAAATCATAAAATGTCTGCTCTCACACTGCAGTGAAATTAAACAAGAAATCAATAACAAAAAATAACTGGAAAATCTCCAAATAGGTGGAGATTAAACAACACATTTCTAAATATTGGGTTGTCAGAAAAGGCATGCTGCATTTTTGCAATGAAAAACGTAGAAAAAATACTTCATGACTTGTCCCACAACCCAATAACACATGGATCACAGAAGAAATCTCAATAGCAGATAAAAAACATTTTGAACTAAATAAAAATGAAAACACAACTTATCAAAATGTGTAGGATGCAGTGAAAGCAGTGCTAAGAGGGAAATTTATAGCATTGAATGCATCTTTTAGAAAAGAAGAAAGATCTAAAATCAATCTACAGCTGGCAGAGTGGCTCAGTTGGATACATGTCGTTATCCATGTGTCTAAACCCATAGAATGTATGACACCAAGAGTGAACCCTAAGGCAAACTATGGGCTTTGGTAAATTATGGTGTGTCAACGTAGGTTCACCCTTGGTAAAAAGAAACGGACCACTCTGGTGAGTGATGTGAATAATGGAGGAGGCCACGCATGTGTGTGGGCAGGAGGTATATGGGAAATTTCTGTACCTTCCACTCAATTTTGTTGTAACCCTACAACGTCTCTAAAAAAATTAGGTATTTTTAAAAATAAAAAGCACCCAAATGCAGAGATAATACTATATGAACCT